GCAACATTACACTTTATGCACAGGCAGCTGGGAGCTCTCACTCCCGAACTGTTCTTAAGGCTATACAAGGCATATGTGAGGCCACACCTTGAGGTGCATAATATCATTGCACCTCCGCTACTCAAAAGGGATGCTAACATTCTAGAAAGTGTCCAGAGACGAGCGACAAAATGGGTGATCGGCCTCCGCAACAAATCATATGAGGAAAGACTAAAGAAATTAGGTCTTTTCACACTTAGTTACCGTAGGCACAGGGGAGACCTCATCACCGTCTACAAGATCCTAAATGACCAGGCCCACCCAAATAAAAGCATCCTGCCATTAAGTGATTATAGGCTTCCACGAGGTAACCCGCTAAGGATAGCACACCAGAGACCAAAGACTCGAGTGCGATCACATTTCTTTTCGCTTCGTGTTTGCCGTCTCTGGAACGCTTTACCGGCGGCCGTGACTACAGCGCCATCTCTGGAGATTTTTAAGCGGAAGCTAGACAATCATGCAGAAATGCAAGGTTTGTGTCTCAATGGCTTATCCTCATAAAACTTAAAACCACACTGTCAATGATAAGCGTACAAACTAAATCCCCACGACCTATTCTGCCTTCTCTCACTCTATCTTTTCCTTAGGTCACCTTTATTATTCCACTTATCTCAACCTATATTATCTACACTACAACCTATTATTATTATTACTATTCTGCTTTTATGACTACACCGAATGACCAACGGGAGTTAGGTCAAACTCCATTCACGGCAGCAATACAGTCCTAACATACTGCATACTACAAACCACATCTCGACCAATCCCCGCACCACTCCTCTTGGAGTCTACCAGAGCTAAAGCAGTCGAGTGGCGGGACTTACTACGCAGAAGCTCACCGAAGATCTGGAACCTCTACCTCACAATCAAGAAGCGAGCTCAAAGAAATCACTGGTTTATACTAGCTCGTAATCAGGATATTGGATATTGGATATAGTCTGCACAAACAGAGTTGGATGGCAACTAAACTAAATTGTGCGTTACGTTTGATGGTTCCGTATAGTTTGGTACGGTACTGAAGTAAGTTTGAGGTATCGTAATTTTTCATTTAATATTGACTCCAATTAAAATCAGTTGTATGTATTAATGCAGAGCTCTAACTAAACTAACAACGCCCGTGATTGTTAGATTTTCGAAGCATTTTTAAAGTCGGCAGACATTTGTTTGCCTCTTGTTTTTGCTAATAACATATCAGCGTGGGCTGAATAATTTGCGAGTTTTGCTAATTACACTCGTCACTACAGTCAAGTTGACAACTGTCAACCGAGAGATACTGTAGCAATCTCGAGCAGTGAAGGGAATGTTAAAGAATTCCTTACTTATAAGTATGTACTTAAGTATACTTAAGTACATACTTAAGTGTATCGCACTAATCAATCTATTCTGTTCGGACTCATGCATCCATGTAATGGCCTGTCTAGAGTCGCCATCTGAAGTGATGACAGCCAGTGATGTCCTTCGCGGATGGCCAGTGTCCGCATTTCTAATCTACCCAGCTGGCATTTTTTTCGGGCGCATAGCAGATTTTTTGGGGCAGAAACTTCGGGTAGATCTACTTACGTGGGACAGTGTCCCGAAGTCTGCCCCAAAAAGTCTGGAATGCGCCCGAAAAAAATGCTAGCTGGGTATTTTAACATAGATCTACTAACGCAATAGTAGGATCATGGATGTGACCCTAATCGACTTTAACAACTTGGGGATTGACTTTTTATCAGGAAACAGTTTTGTTGCTTAGGATTATTTACATTTTATTGCCCTTCTATGTGAAGACTCTGACAAAATACAGAAACCTTTGAACACTTTGAGAAGTAATCTTATCTTATAATCTCATCACGGTACTAAAATTCGTGTATTGTTTGCTCATTTACGTTATCTTTGACGTAGATGTTTTGTCAGCCTTTCGATCAAACGACGTATATACAGTGCAGCAGGACTTTAAAGCGTGTCTACTAAAAGTCTTTGACAGTGTCTACGCATTCTGTCTCGCATGTTAAGCAGTATGCACAATACTGCTTAATGGTTAGTAATACTGAGTTTAGACAAAGAGTATTAGATAACGAGGTATGGGAAATCAGTGAATGTTTTGTGATTCTGCAAGGATTACCAAGCCATTGTGTTCGTAAGCTCACGTGGAATTTTCTTGTAAAAGAATTAAAGATAGTCAAGCTAATATATCAAATCCGTCCATGAAGTCTTTGAATGTTAGTCTACCCCAAGTAGGGGGTTGTAAACCTCCTGACTGAGGTCTGATTACTACTCATTTACTTATCATTTCTCCTAAACATGTCTGTTCATTGTAGTTGCTTAGAGATTTCTGCTCTACATCTGTCTATTTTATGAAATGTTGCAAACTGCACTCCCTCACTTTTGTGTGCAATTTTACGTTGAAAACTCGATCAGTCCTCATGATACGAGACCAGCTCGTTGACCATATTGGTTATGGAATCCAATACCCTTTGAATTCCAATTTCTACCAATTCACGATATATGGCGCTACCTCAAGCCAGTAATTTTCCTCCCAACCGACTTGTTGGATTCCACTACTTGATAAGTTCGCGAATTTTAATCATTAATCAATGTACACAGAAATAGTCCCAACTTTTATTTACTCATGCCTACTGAAATCCATGTTGACTTTGTTCTCAATAGTCCATACTTCTAGTCAACTTCTGATTCTTGATCACATAAACCAATATTAATGCACTTCAGTATTTCCATTAAAATCGAATTCGGCACATTTACATAACAAACATACTTGCTGTTATCGTCTATTGTAATCCGTATGCAAACACAATTGTACCGCTATGATAAGTAAATCATCTTTAAGAGGATTTTCAGTTGATATATATATATATATATATATATCCTAGTTCATATCGCTACCAAGCATGAATGCAAAACGATGGATGTGAATGTTTTTCAGTTCATGTTCAAATAGATAAAGCAAAGGGAGTATAAGAGATTAAAATTGAGATAAAATACATTACAGTCCAATAACATCACTTAAGTGAACAATTATTCAGCAGAGAAAGAACTTAAATATATCAAGAATTGCGAACTGAATAATATTAATGATAGTAGTAATAATGGTATTGTTAAAACGAGTTAAGATAATGCTGCTGATGAAGGACATATTTAAATGAATCAGGAATAATAATAATAGGTAGAATAAAGTACCAATAATAACAGTTAATAAGTATAACATATTACTATGGTAGATTCAGAGTGCCCACCATTTGCCTTTTTGTACACAGAGACCTGGTTTATCAACTCAAATTGCACAAGCTTCGACAAAAGCAAACATCTTCCAGTTTCTCTTTCTGCTAACAACAACACTGAATGTCTCGACAGCGTCAATATCATGTCCATAGTCCACAAGGTGCTGTATTATTAAAATTTTTGCGCTTTGATTTCAGCTATTTCTAACCTCTTTAGCGAAGGTTCAAGCGGAACGTGTTGTTTTACCAGAACAGAAAGTCTACTTCCGAAATAAAAGATTGAAGGTTCAATTCGCACTGTGAATGTGGATGTGGTTTGTAAAAATGGCGCATACAATTCTAGATAGATGATTCATAGTTTTCGATAGGCTTAAGAACCTCTCTCTTAGGTGACTCATCCGTTTTAACAATCTTACTCGTTTCGTTGTGTTTCATACATCCCCTTAAACCTTATTTTTCTAATTATCCATAGTGTATCTATTATCTTTATGGAAATTATCTTAGTTACCGTGGAATTATTGTTATTCGTTCAGCCATCTTGGACGACTTGAAAATAAAAATCTTTCCATTTTTCACGTATACGCAAAACTTCTTAAATGCGTTTTTATCAAATTAACGTTGAGGAATATGGTAGACTTAGTAGTTATTTAAAGTCCATCTCTAACAAGCAGTTTTTTGTTTGATTGCGGTATTTTAAGAATGGAAAATGTTCAGTTAACGTAAATATGATGTTGTATATAGTCTACAACTTTAACAAGTTTCTTTGGTATTATGGAGGTTTTCTGCGATCATTTGGCTGTTGAATAGACTGTTAAATACTTCCTTGGAGCATTATAAGATAAAATGCACAGGATATAAATCAGAATACTAAATATTATCTTCTGAATGGCGAATAGCATATCAATTTGTTTTGCTTAAGCTCATGCAGAACAGATAATTCACGTGCTAGGATAAGAGCCACACTTATCGTGTGAGGGCTAGTGATACTACGTAATATTTTAGGCTGAAGTGTGTGGAATAGGACCCCAACCCGTGACTCATTGGCTAAAAGCTGAGTGTCTCAGCTAATGAGTCACATCTCCACGAACCAAATGTGGTACTGAAGTGTGTTAGTCAGTGAAGCAGTATACTTAAATGAGTGCAAGATTGATTTATATGTTGTGACAGCCTGAAATTTTTGTTCTTTTTTGGCAATCCGCCGAGATTGATATGAGAGTGCTATAAGTCCCAACCGAAAGCAACTAGTACATTATGTGAATGTAATAAAAACGAGGGTCTGTTAATCAAATGTCTGATGCAACTATTTTCTGTATACCATAAATTTGACTGATTTTTAAGTGGTACATCAATCGTTGATGTTAAAATGTCACTTGTGACAAACTTGAGTAGGAATGGCGAAAAGAAAAACCCAAACTATTGAGTGTCATAAACTCAAAAGAAACACTCGATTTTTAATTGTTAGGTTATAGTGTGAAATATTGCTTCACTTGGGAGGGTTTGAGGTTCCAGGTAATATCGTTGACTTTTACTCAGCAACTTTCGTCAACTGCCAATTACACGAACATGCATATTGTTGCTCAAGCGGCAACTGTTAGCTTATGTATTTATTTATTTGAGTCGCCTTTTTCTCAGCTTTAAATGAAATTCATGCCTTAGTGAGTGAAAAATTAAATATGCATTGCATAAAGTAAAAAACGATTGTAACCGGTCTGTCTTCTTATTTAAAACATTTTAGGTAACACAATGCAGACTGTATTTATGGTTGCTGAGAAGCCTTCATTGGCTGAGTCAATTTCAAAGTCTTTATCGAATAAACGTAATTCAAGTCGACGTGGATTTAATGGAGCCTGCTCTGTTCATGAATGGATTGGACAGTTTATGAGTGAACAAGTTCGTTTCAAAATGACTTCAGTTTGTGGCCATGTAATGAATGTTGACTTTTTAAGCCGATACAACAGTTGGGATAAAGTAGATCCGGTAAATAGATTTTATTTGTATTATCTAGCATAAATCTATTAGGCTGAGTTATTTGTAGCACCTATTGAGAAGAAGGAGGCAAATCCTAAGTTACAAATGGTAGACTTTCTACGTCAAGAGGTTTTCATATAGCTGTTGTAAAGTTTTATTGTCTAGGCGAAAAATGCTGCTGTACTAATTCTTTGGCTTGACTGTGATAAAGAAGGCGAAAATATTTGTTTCGAAGTTATTAACTGCATCCATTCAGTTATGGTACATCCGGTAAGTTCTCTTTTGGTATTTTTGTACTTACCATTTCACTTTCCTCAAAACTGAAACGTTTTGAGACCGATTCTAAAATAGAAGAAGGCATTTTCTAGTCTCTATTTAAATAACTCAGTTTCATTGTGACCCGTTCTGCTTGAGATGTTATCTAAATATTTCCTCAGCGCATGTCCAATCCATTTGCAGATTTATTGTACAGTAGTTTCTTGGCTGGTTCGTTGTCAGAGTTTCTTATTGCTTGTTCTCTCCTGTATCCAGTTGTCGACAAAAGTTTTGCAGTCTATTGGAAGTGCTTTTCTTCACGTATCTCCCAAGTATCTGAATCATATGGAAAGCACTAACTGACTTGATATTAGAGTTTTGAAATTCGGATCCTCGTCCTTGTGCTGAATGAGTTCTGTAGACACTCACGTTGTTTTCAGAGTAACGAGCACCTACCTTGCTTTCACAATCCTATCCTGATTGGCTTTGATATCCTCATCCGTACTACCTGTATTTCAAAAGATTCTGTCTGGGTAAGTGATGGTTACTGGTGTTTTTTGGGCAGACAATACCTACTCTCAGTTTCATCTTTCTTTCTTAGTTTTTCTCAATTCGTTTGCTGCTAAGCCAACTTTCAGAGAAATTTCCTTACTTGACATAATATAATCACAGTCAAGTAGTGATCTCAGTACTGATAAACCCAGGTAAAAGCTCTTTTTGACTTGAGGCACCCATCAGAGTTTATATATCTATTCTTAAGGATGGAAGTTATTGTCACAAAATTACAAAATGCTTATTTACCATGGTGATTCACCACTCAAGATTAAACAATCATGACAGTTACTTCCAAGACTTGGCAAGCAGAATATCTGTTCGGTGAATTCTTAAAACCTGTACACTTTACTTTCATGAGAATTTATTGTTTCTGTTGGGCTTTACATTCTGGAATGCTGCTCAATAGTTTTTATTTAAGTCTTTTCATTTTCGTTGCATGCGAGTTTAAACACAAATGCTCTGAAGATTGTAATTACCGTCAATGTTTATTGCTTCGGTGTGATTATCTGCGAGTTACATATTCAATCCACAGAGTGAAATTGTTTCCTCCCTTTAACTTACGAACAACAAGCTATAGTCTAAAAGTGATCTTAAACGTTATTAGCTCTATATGTATATATATAAACACACACCTTTCGAATGTTGGTGATGAATGTTTTGATTCACTTGTCTTATCTTTTATATATATATATATATATATATATATATATATATATATATATATATATCTTCAACAAAGATAAGCGCATCAAAGTCAGTTGAAACATTTTCGAGAGCGTTTACAATCATAAGATGATAGGATAGCGGTCTGTTGGTTAACACTGTCATTTCAATGTGCAGAAAGTGCACAGTCATTCAGAACATAAGTCAAACAATTAAGTGACCTACTGATATATTTAAAATAAACAAAACACAAGTTTTAGGAGGGTGGTGAGTAGTTGTATTCAGTGATATGATTACCGCAGAATACAAACAAACAAATACCAACAAGTGGAGAACACCGAATATGAGCTCGAGGGCTGACAGATCACAAGTGTAATGATAAAATAGAGAGGTTAAATCGTGAACTGTAATCAAATACTAGAGACATGATAAAATAAGCTTAGTGTAAATTGCAACGGTTGACCCAAAATAATAAGGATAATAATGGAATGAAGTGAACTAGGTGAAAAGGAATAAGAAAGGCATATTATGAGGTGATTACGTCCCTGATGACCTTATAGTAGACTAGGATAAACAAAGAGGAGGAATGCATTTTTCTGCACACAGGCCACGTTTATTCTTACTGAGCTCTGCAACTTCAGCCGCCTATGGCCGGGAGACGTAATCGTGCAACTTTAGACAGAATGTTTAGTACTCGATGCATAACCGCAAATGACTCATCTATTTTGGTGCAGTGTTCACTATCCACTAGATGAGATAAAACAGCACTATTTGTTGACTTGCTTGCTTCTTTTCCAAGTCAAAGTATGGTGAGAGCTGGCTGTTAGTCAAAATTGGTGGACAGTAATTTACGTCAATGTTTATGTCCCCAATATTGGTCGTGAGAAAAATGAGAACAAAGGCTTTGCGTAGGCGGATACAGTTAACATATGGATGATCTGACATTCAAGAAACAGCCACAAAGAGATGAGAGGTTAACTTTCTGTGAGAAACAACCAACCAGAGGGCTGCGTTTGTCTACCAATAATAATCTATAATGATGTACATGAAAATCTATAAATATGTGTTGATTTCATTAATGAACGATCTGTTGCCTGGCCCTTGCCTTCTGTTGTTACAAAAGTAGAACATCTTCACGAGTGCGTAAAGGTAAATTCCTCTGAGTACGACGTACTGCTGAAGAGTCCCAAACTAGGACGAAACAGCTGCCCAGTACTCCCAGGTTTTCCAGTGGTCCTCTAACTGATGTCAGCTTATGATGAAATTCTCTATGGAATCATACGACGCATATAACTAGCAGTTGAATTTGTATGTGGTCGTCATCGGTAATTTATCTTTATTGCACTGTGTCAGTGTCGGTCTGGTTGAGAAACTGACGTGCATTTCAGCAGCAGTGGAATTCCAACTGATCTGATCAACCTACAGCTTAATATATCACTGGATATATATATATATATATCACTTTTGAATGCACTTCTAGATGTGTCCCGCTTAATCTTATCAGTTTTTTTGAGATATACTTCTTTTCAAAATTGATAGGATAACCAATTTTGTAGCAGGGTACTTTCAAGGTTTTCATTTTCATCTGCATACAATCCTCAGTACATATGCGTCTAATCCTATGATTAAGAAAACTAATTAAATCCCGCTTATACTGTATGAGTGTGAAACTGTAGAAATGGATACATTGTCCGTTCCACGTTGCTTTCCTGTTGATATTTCCTCTTTATCGTCCCGCCTATCCTTTTAGTAAGAACATCCAAAAAAGAAATGCTACTCTGATATTCTTCTTCACAAGTAAATTTCATTCTCGGGTGCACATTATTATAAAGACTTGCATCATATTTTGCTTATCCAAATTATTGTCGAAAACGATAAACCTATGGTTTACATTACGGCAATAATATTCAAGTTTATTAAACATCTGTCTTAGAGGAAAATTTTTGATCTAACTTAGATGTCAGCTAATAAGGTACTACAGGGGAGCTATAGCATTCTTATCGGTTTATCTGATAAACTCTTTGTTAAATACAAAGTGAACATTCCGTACACTTTTAACAATAACTTTTTGAACTTCATAAGTGTGATTCCAATATTTATGTTTCCTTCTGCAACTTCCTCATATATATATATATATATATATATATATATATAAATCAATCCATGAGATCTTTGACTGTTGGTTTGTTTGAGCCAGGCTCGTTGGGAGATGTAGACTGTTTGATTGGATTCCTCGGGATGCTAAGATCCAATGGCTGGGGACTATTGGTATTATAGCCCAAAACTCTTCTCACTATCGCGAGTACATCACCCTCTGTAACCTCCCAGAGCCATTAAACCCTCGTGCTCTTCCGTGTCATTATTCCTTCGCCTGCACATTTCTGCCTATTGTAGTTTCTTTTTTAAATTTCTCTCTGTCTTCATTTCTCTGCTTCTGTGTGCTGTATGGAGTGTGGCAACTTGAACTAGTACATTTCCGTGCAAAGTTCTACGTTGAAACTCAGTCAGCCAGTCAATGAAAAACTTAGGTTAGTAAACAAATAAGCAAATAATAGAAAAGGCGTTCAGCGAAAAGCTACTCTTTTCGGCGATACCACTGTCAAGCTGCACAATCTCATATATATATATGGTAAATATATATTTCCAAAGATTTGTCATTAGAATTGTAAATTGTAGACAAAAAATTTCGTTAATGGGTTAGAAACTAAAATAAGATTCAATAAGCAAGTTGAGTAATGTAATCTGATTGACGAGGTTAAGTAGAGGTCAACTAAAATTAAAATTAGACAAAAGTCAAGTTAACAACAATGATAATAAGGGGTTGGGGAAGAAAATATTATACAATTAAAAAATAAACAAGCAAGAAAAAGACGAAACAAAAATTATTTATTTGGTGTTAAGATAGATCAGGTCCACTGTAAATTTACTGACTGAACAAACTTCTTTGGTATGCAGAGTTCAGGTTTTAACATGTAAATTGCCATTGCTTCTGAGATTTGAAAAAGTTTGATTCGTACTCGTATAGCAAGATTCTCATGTATTCTGTTTATGACTCCGAAGTTGGTTTGTGGGTTATCTTGATGTCCAGATTTGATCAGATGTTCCAGAATAAAGCTTCAAATGGATTGTTTTTCTTCTTTTATAAAACTATGAGGGTAAGCGTTCGGTGATGCGTTTGGATAGCAAACTCTGGGTACGGCTGACATACCTAGCTCCGCACGAGCCAGTGAATTGGTAGATGCACACTGATGAGACCAATAGTGGTAGCTTATCCTTCATGTTCATGCGAGTCATGGGTTTCGTAGAGAAGGTTAATTTGAGTTCAGCCACGAAGGAGGTTTTCCTCGGTGAACGGGACAGGCGGTTTCTCAGTATTTCTGCCAATAAGTCTGCATTGAATTGTAGTTTCAGATAGAGAATTTTTTTGGAAGCAGAAAGTGTGGGCGATTTTAGTGGTTCAGCTTTCATAGATTTTGTGATGAAACGTTCTGGGTAACCATTTCCGAGGATCCTCTTCAGAGTGTTTAGCTCCTCTTCTATAGTATTAGGCCTTCGGATTCTGTGGCTCAGTGAACGGACCAGGTTTCATTTTGTGTATAGGGGCACCCAACTGTGAAAGTTAGTAAGTTGTCCGTTCCATGTCGGCTTTCTGTAGATGGGTCTTCTTAGTGTTCCATGCTGTTCACGTTTTGTTAATTGGACGTCCAGAAAGGATATTTTTGTCGGATTCCTTTTCTAGTGTGAACTAAATGACTGGGTGGCAGCTGTTGACGAAGTCCACGATGTTCTCGTAATTCTCCTCATTGTTGGAGATAATGAAAGTGTCGTCAACGTATCTCTATTAAAACCCAAAGCTGTCAATCATTTTCTTTAGATGTATGTTTTCTAGTTTTGGAATGAAAAGTGTGTAAGCAACGAGCCAAGCGGTGAGCCCATATCTGTACCATCATTTTGTCGATATATTTCGTTATTGAAAAAGAATTGGACGTTTAGGGTATATCTCAATAGGAGTTCCTTCAAATATTCAGTGGATATATCAATGTTCATCCCCTTTGAATCAATATTTCCACATATATAGCATATTGTTTCAGTTAGTGGGATGTCCGTAAACAATGATACCACGTCTGGCGAGAACATGATTTGATTAGAAACGCTGACGTTTTCATTGGAATTGACAAAGTCGAAGGAATCTTGGAGTGAGGGTGGCAGGAAATTTGCCTTCTGACTGGTTCTAGCAGGTCTACTAGCCATTGAGCACTAAGATGATAAGGTGAATTTTTCATATCGAGGATAGGTCGAAGAGGCATATCTTTCCTGTGCACTTTTGGTAATCCACAAAGTTGTAGCGTATTTGAGCCAGACGGGCTCAGTGATTCATTCGAAGGTTTCGGTGTCGATGAATGATTCAGTTTTTAGTTTTCGAAGAATATCTGTTAGTTTTCGTTCAATTGCTCCGTCATGTTCTTTTCATTGGTTGGTTTTGTGAATTTGGACTCGTTGGATGGAATGGTCAGCCTTTTACTTATGTAGTTGTCACGATTCATGACTATGATTCCCCGACCTTTATCACGGCGAATCAAAATGATCTCTTTCCTGTTCAAAGCCTACCTACTTTGCAAGTATCTGTTCTAGACTTTGAAGTTACTTGTAGGTGGAATAGTTTCAGGACTATCTGTTTCACTTTCTTTAGGGGATGAAAAAAATAATTATTCAGGTCAATTTTTTCTCCTGTTAATTTATGCTTATCAAGTGTGTTTTTGCGTGTTTTGATTTTTTTTGTTTTAGAAAAGAATTTTACGAGCGCATTTCAGTGCCGTTACTGATCAAGAATTACATGGTGCTATGAAAAATCTCAGAGAGCCTAACAAACATGAAGCCTTATCAGTAGATGCAAGGCAAGAACTTGATCTTAGAATTGGTTGTGCGTTCACTCGATTTCAGACGAAATTTTTTCAGGTGAGATTTTTCAATCTATCTCTGTGTGGTGCTTAAACATAAGAAAAGTAAGGCTAATATGAATTTTAATATTTATTCCATGATTATACCTGTTACAATGGAATAATATAATAATAATACTTTGTTAAACCTCCAAGTACAGTTCCAGTTTACCTCAATGAGTAGATGAATATGTATCTCTTGAAGTTATTTTGTTAGGTGGTGACTAGCAGTGGAGTTCAGGATCTGCATTTCGTCCTATTTGAGACTTGTCATCTCGATGTACCTTTATTCCCAGTGAGCAGTAGTGTTCCCACTGGTACTTGAACCCTTCACTCATCCTTTCAAACACCAAAACGTTATTCATTGGGTCACTGAAGCCTCGAGGGTTACCTCTTGCATCACAAGTGTCAGCTATCATTTTTATACAGGTTAATTTTGCATTTCCTGTTAATTGTTTATATTGGAGTGAAATGCTCGGTCTCTGTTGACATATTGTATCCTAGTATGGACGCTTCGATGATGTTTAAGGGTTAACTTGAAGGTGTTATGTCTGGTGGTGACTAGCATTGGAACATAAGATGCACGTTGCGAATTTGTATCTTTTCTGATTCTCCTTTCAACTGACAAATGATTTTTGTCCACTTTATTAAGGGGAAATATGGTGATCTGAATAGTAATCTTGTATCATTTGGACCGTGTCAAACGCCTACTCTTGGATTTTGTGTAAAACGACATGATCAAATCCAATCGTTTAAGCCAGAAACATTTTGGCGAATTAAGGTTAGTTTATATATATATATATATATATATATATATATATATATATATATATATATATATATTCAGTGTTATATTTTGTCGTACTAAGATGCAAATAAAAAACTACATTAGTGTGAAACAAGAAGCTTTAAACTTATTTTCCCAGACTTTTCAATAAAATGGTTTGCGTGCTACTACCCTATAACTCCTACCTAACTCAAATGTGATCACAGGAGCAAATTTGAGGAGCAGTAGTGATGAAATAGAATGCGTTAACTTTACTGCGGTACTTTATGCAGGACTTTCAAGGTATTGGTAAACATCATTCTCGGTTTACACGGTTTGGCTTCCGTCCACAATAGGTGGGTTTAATTTTGACCTATTGTTGCTTTTGAGAGCATGATAGCAGAGTAAGCAAACAAGAGTGAAAAGATATTGTGATGCAAAAGTCTGGCTTAATTGTTAACCAGTCGTAACACGTTTTTGATTCACTATTACTTTGTGTTTAACATTATGTCATGAAAGTAATAATGGGGATATCTCTTTAATGGTTCATGCATTTATTCCCCTTGATAAACTTGAATAAAGCGAGAACAACATTTATTTGTGCAGAATAACATGGTACCATCATTTATTTCGTTGGCTTCTCGTCAGCTGCTTACAGCCTAAATAAATTTTCAGGTTTAAGTACAGAAACGTGTTAACATACTTGCAAATTTTACATGTTGTCAGTTGACAGAAAGTTTCACAATTAGTGAACAGTGCTCAGAAAATTGCGCTTATATAGCTTTTACACCGGCAGTTCAAGTTAAAAAAATAATAATAATGATAAATAAATGTATGCATATAATAAAGATGGGATGTGCGTTGGATGCATAGTGACTAATAAGTTAGGTATCAATGCACTGAGTTGAACTCAAATCATAGAAACAAGAGACAAACAGATTATAAAAGGAGGGTGGTGTTAAAGACAAAGATTACACAATCAGATGAGAGATGCAAAGTGACTAATAAGTTAGGTAACAATGTACTGAGTTGAACTCAAATCATAGAAGCAAGAGACAAGCAAAATTACAGAATATAAAAGAGGGTGAGGTTAAAGACAAAGATTACGCAGTAAGATGAGAATGGTTAGGATGCTCTGAAAGGTCGTGGGGTTTAGGTCGTACTATGTCTCAGGCAGATTAGATTTACACAAGCATTATAAGCTGTCTCTGTGTAAGACAACACTAAAACTTATCATGCAGTATAATACTTTGCTTTCATTATAATCATCGTTATTACTGACGTTTCAAACATTTAACACTTATTATCATTATTTTTGATTCACACACTCACCGTCATTCGCTAAAATTCTTATATGTAAGGCTATATAAGTTAGAGTAAACCTTGAAGGAGGTCTGATTCAAAACAATATCGTTCGCTTATATATCTCGCTCTAATTAATATATCCTTGTTATTCTCAAGGCTTTTTCGGGCTTCTATCTCTAGTGTTGCTAGGTAAACCTTTCTCCATTCTTATCCTTTTAATATGGCCGTACTTCATCGCCAGCTGTAAGAAAACTCTCGCTATGGATTCCCCGCGTAGTCCCTTATTAGCCGACATCTAAGTTAGATCAAAAATTTTCCTCTAAGACAGATGTTTAATAAACTTGAATATTATTGCCGTAATGTAAACCATAGGTTTATCGTTTTCGACAATAATTTGGATAAGCAAAATATGATGCAAGTCTTTATAATAATGTGCACCCGAGAATGAAATTTACTTGTGAAGAAGAATATCAGAGTAGCATTTCTTTTTTGGATGTTCTTACTAAAAGGATAGGCGGGACGATAAAGAGGAAATATCAACAGGAAAGCAACGTGGAACGGACAATGTATCCATTTCTACAGTTTCACACTCATACAGTATAAGCGGGATTTAATTAGTTTTCTTAATCATAGGATTAGACGCATATGTACTGAGGATTGTATGCAGATGAAAATGAAAACCTTGAAAGTACCCTGCTACAAAATTGGTTATCCTATCAATTTTGAAAAGAAGTATATCTCAAAAAAACTGATAAGATTAAGCGGGACACATCTAGAAGTGCATTCAAAAGTGATATATATATATATATATCCAGTGATATATTAAGCTGTAGGTTGATCAGATCAGTTGGAATTCCACTGCTGCTGAAATGCACGTCAGTTTCTCAACCAGACCGACACTGACACAGTGCAATAAAGATAAATTACCGATGACGACCACATACAAATTCAACTGCTAGTTATATGCGTCGTATGATTCCATAGAGAATTTCATCATAAGCTGACATCAGTTAGAGGACCACTGGAAAACCTGGGAGTACTGGGCAGCTGTTTCGTCCTAGTTTGGGACTCTTCAGCAGTACGTCGTACTCAGAGGAATTTACCTTTACGCACTCGTGAAGATGTTCTACTTTTGTAACAACAGAAGGCAAGGGCCAGGCAACAGATCGTTCATTAATGAAATCAACACATATTTATAGATTTTCATGTACATCATTATAGATTATTATTGGTAGACAAACGCAGCCCTCTGGTTGGTTGTTTCTCACAGAAAGTTAACCTCTCATCTCTTTGTGGCTGTTTCTTGAATGTCAGATCATCCATATGTTAACTGTATCCGCCTACGCAAAGCCTTTGTTCTCATTTTTCTCACGACCAATATTGGGGACATAAACATTGACGTAAATTACTGTCCACCAATTTTGACTAACAGCCAGCTCTCACCATACTTTGACTTGGAAAAGAAGCAAGCAAGTCAACAAATAGTGCTGTTTTATCTCATCTAGTGGATAGTGAACACTGCACCAAAATAGATGAGTCATTTGCGGTTATGCATCGAGTACTAAACATTCTGTCTAAAGTTGCACGATTACGTCTCCCGGCCATAGGCGGCTGAAGTTGCAGAGCTCAGTAAGAATAAACGTGGCCTGTGTGCAGAAAAATGCATTCCTCCTCTTTGTTTATCCTAGTCTACTATAAGGTCATCAGGGACGTAATCACCTCATAATATGCCTTTCTTATTCCTTTTCACCTAGTTCACTTCATTCCATTATTATCCTTATTATTTTGGGTCAACCGTTGCAATTTACACTAAGCTTATTTTATCATGTCTCTAGTATTTGATTACAGTTCACGATTTAACCTCTCTATTTTATCATTACACTTGTGATCTGTCAGCCCTCGAGCTCATATTCGGTGTTCTCCACTTGTTGGTATTTGTTTGTTTGTATTCTGCGGTAATCATATCACTGAATACAACTACTCACCACCCTCCTAAAACTTGTGTTTTGTTTATTTTAAATATATCAGTAGGTCACTTAATTGTTTGACTTATGTTCTGAATGACTGTGCACTTTCTGCACATTGAAATGACAGTGTTAACCAACAGACCGCTATCCTATCATCTTATGATTGTAAACGCTCTCGAAAATGTTTCAACTGACTTTGATGCGCTTATCTTTGTCGAAGATATATATATATATATATATATATATATATATATATAAAAGATAAGACAAGTGAATCAAAACATTCATCACCAACATTCGAAAGGTGTGTGTTTATATATATACATATAGAGCTAATAACGTTTAAGATCACTTTTAGACTATAGCTTGTTGTTCGTAAGTTAAAGGGAGGAAACAATTTCACTCTGTGGATTGAATATGTAACTCGCAGATAATCACACCGAAGCAATAAACATTGACGGTAATTACAATCTTCAGAGCATTTGTGTTTAAACTCGCATGCAACGAAAATGAAAAGACTTAAATAAAAACTATTGAGCAGCATTCCAGAATGTAAAGCCCAACAGAAACAATAAATTCTCATGAAAGTAAAGTGTACAGGTTTTAAGAATTCACCGAACAGATATTCTGCTTGCCAAGTCTTGGAAGTAACTGTCATGATTGTTTAATCTTGAGTGGTGAATCACCATGGTAAATAAGCATTTTGTAATTTTGTGACAATAACTTCCATCCTTAAGAATAGATATATAAACTCTGATGGGTGCCTCAAGTCAAAAAGAGCTTTTACCTGGGTTTATCAGTACTGAGATCACTACTTGACTGTGATTATATTATGTCAAGTAAGGAAATTTCTCTGAAAGTTGGCTTAGCAGCAAACGAATTGAGAAAAACTAAGAAAGAAAGATGAAACTGAGAGTAGGTATTGTCTGCCCAAAAAACACCAGTAACCATCACTTACCCAGACAGAATCTTTTGAAATACAGGTAGTACGGATGAGGATATCAAAGCCAATCAGGATAGGATTGTGAAAGCAAGGTAGGTGCTCGTTACTCTGAAAACAACGTGAGTGTCTACAGAACTCATTCAGCACAAGGACGAGGATCCGAATTTCAAAACTCTAATATCAAGTCAGTTAGTGCTTTCCATATGATTCAGATACTTGGGAGATACGTGAAGAAAAGCACTTCCAATAGACTGCAAAACTTTTGTCGACAACTGGATACAGGAGAGAACAAGCAATAAGAAACTCTGACAACGAACCAGCCAAGAAACTACTGTACAATAAATCTGCAAATGGATTGGACATGCGCTGAGGAAATATTTAGATAACATCTCAAGCAGAACGGGTCACTATGAAACTGAGTTATTTAAATAGAGACTAGAAAATGCCTTCTTCTATTTTAGAATCAGTCTCAAAACGTTTCAGTTTTGAGGAAAGTGGAATGGTAAGTACAAAAATACCAAAAGAGAACTTACCGGATGTACCATAACTGAATGGATGCAGTTAATAACTTCGAAACAAATATTTTCGCCTTCTTTATCACAGTCAAGCCAAAGAATTAGTACAGCAGCATTTTTCGCCTAGACAATAAAACTTTACAACAGCTATATGAAAACCTCTTGACGTAGAAAGTCTACCATTTGTAACTTAGGATTTGCCTCCTTCTTCTCAATAGGTGCTACAAATAACTCAGCCTAATAGATTTATGCTAGATAATACAAATAAAATCTATTTACCGGATCTACTTTATCCCAACTGTTGTATCGGCTTAAAAAGTCAACATTCATTACATGGCCACAAACTGAAGTCATTTTGAAACGAACTTGTTCACTCATAAACTGTCCAATCCATTCATGAACAGAGCAGGCTCCATTAAATCCACGTCGACTTGAATTACGTTTATTCGATAAAGACTTTGAAATTGACTCAGCCAATGAAGGCTTCTCAGCAACCATAAATACAGTCTGCATTGTGTTACCTAAAATGTTTTAAATAAGAAGACAGACCGGTTACAATCGTTTTTTACTTTATGCAATGCATATTTAATTTTTCACTCACTAAGGCATGAATTTCATTTAAAGCTGAGAAAAAGGCGACTCAAATAAATAAATACATAAGCTAACAGTTGCCGCTTGAGCAACAATATGCATGTTCGTGTAATTGGCAGTTGACGAAAGTTGCTGAGTAAAAGTCAACGATATTACCTGGAACCTCAAACCCTCCCAAGTGAAGCAATATTTCACACTATAACCTAACAATTAAAAATCGAGTGTTTCTTTTGAGTTTATGACACTCAAAAGTTTGGGTTTTTCTTTTCGCCATTCCTACTCAAGTTTGTCACAAGTGACATTTTAACATCAACGATTGATGTACCACTTAAAAATCAGTCAAATTTATGGTATACAGAAAATAGTTGCATCAGACATTTGATTAACAGACCCTCGTTTTTATTACATTCACATAATGTACTAGTTGCTTTCGGTTGGGACTTATAGCACTCTCATATCAATCTCGGCGGATTGCCAAAAAAGAACAAAAATTTCAGGCTGTCACAACATATAAATCAATCTTGCACTCATTTAAGTATACTGCTTCACTGACTAACACACTTCAGTACCACATTTGGTTCGTGGAGATGTGACTCATTAGCTGAGACACTCAGCTTTTAGCCAATGAGTCACGGGTTGGGGTCCTATTCCACCCACTTCAGCCTAAAATATTACGTAGTATCACTAGCCCTCACACGATAAGTGTGGCTCTTATCCTAGCACGTGAATTATCTGTTCTGCATGAGCTTAAGCAAAACAAATTGATATGCTATTCGCCATTCAGAAGATAATATTTAGTATTCTGATTTATATCCTGTGCATTTTATCTTATAATGCTCCAAGGAAGTATTTAACAGTCTATTCAACAGCCAAATGATCGCAGAAAACCTCCATAATACCAAAGAAACTTGTTAAAGTTGTAGACTATATACAACATCATATTTACGTTAACTGAACATTTTCCATTCTTAAAATACCGCAATCAAACAAAAAACTGCTTGTTAGAGATGGACTTTAAATAACTACTAAGTCTACCATATTCCTCAACGTTAATTTGATAAAAACGCATTTAAGAAGTTTTGCGTATACGTGAAAAATGGAAAGATTTTTATTTTCAAGTCGTCCAAGATGGCTGAACGAATAACAATAATTCCACGGTAACTAAGATAATTTCCATAAAGATAATAGATACACTATGGATAATTAGAAAAATAAGGTTTAAGGGGATGCATGAAACACAACGAAACGAGTAAGATTGTTAAAACGGATGAGTCACCTAAGAGAGAGGTTCTTAAGCCTATCGAAAACTATGAATCATCTATCTAGAATTGTATGCGCCATTTTTACAAACCACATCCACATTCACAGTGCGAATTGAACCTTCAATCTTTTATTTCGGAAGTAGACTTTCTGTTCTGGTAAAACAACACGTTCCGCTTGAACCTTCGCTAAAGAGGTTAGAAATAGCTGAAATCAAAGTGCAAAAATTTTAATAATACAGCACCTTGTGGACTATGGACATGATATTGACGTTGTCGAGACATTCAGTGTTGTTGTTAGCAGAAAGAGAAACTGGAAGATGTTTGCTTTTGTCGAAGCTTGTGCAATTTGAGTTGATAAACCAGGTCTCTGTGTACAAAAAGGCAAATGGTGGGCACTCTGAATCTACCATAGTAATATGTTATACTTATTAACTGTTATTATTGGTACTTTATTCTACCTATTATTATTATTCCTGATTCATTTAAATATGTCCTTCATCAGCAGCATTATCTTAACTCGTTTTAACAATACCATTATTACTACTATCATTAATATTATTCAGTTCGCAATTCTTGATATATTTAAGTTCTTTCTCTGCTGAATAATTGTTCACTTAAGTGATGTTATTGGACTGTAATGTATTTTATCTCAATTTTAATCTCTTATACTCCCTTTGCTCTATCTATTTGAACATGAACTGAAAAACATTCACTGAAAATCCTCTTAAAGATGATTTACTTATCATAGCGGTACAATTGTGTTTGCATACGGATTACAATAGACGATAACAGCAAGTATGTTTGTTATGTAAATGTGCCGAATTCGATTTTAATGGAAATACTGAAGTGCATTAATATTGGTTTATGTGATCAAGAATCAGAAGTTGACTAGAAGTATGGACTATTGAGAACAAAGTCAACATGGATTTCAGTAGGCATGAGTAAATAAAAGTTGGGACTATTTCTGTGTACATTGATTAATGATTAAAATTCGCGAACTTATCAAGTAGTGGAATCCAACAAGTCGGTTGGGAGGAAAATTACTGGCTTGAGGTAGCGCCATATATCGTGAATTGGTAGAAATTGGAATTCAAAGGGTATTGGATTCCATAACCAATATGGTCAACGAGCTGGTCTCGTATCATGAAGACTGATCGAGTTTTCAACGTAAAATTGCACACAAAAGTGAGGGAGTGCAGTTTGCAACATTTCATAAAATAGACAGATGTAGAGCAGAAATCTCTAAGCAACTACAATGAACAGACATGTTTAGGAGAAATGATAAGTAAATGAGTAGTAATCAGACCTCAGTCAGGAGGTTTACAACTCCCTACTTGGGGTAGACTAACATTCAAAGACTTCATGGACGGATTTGATATATTAGCTTGACTATCTATAATTCTTTTTGTTATGTACTGCTGCTGAGTGGTTAACAGTAAGTTTTCGCCGTCGCCTATTATGTTATGTACTCGTCGAGTAGTTAATAGTCCTGACGCGGAAAGAGGGAAATCAGAAGTCCAACAGGTTTATGATGATGCTTGTATTTTCCAGATAAGGAAAATGATTGTCACACAAGAGTGTGAGTGAAATGGTAGGTAGTGTACGAAACGTGGGAACAAGTATACAGTACAAAAGTATGTATGAAAATACACATGAACCAATAAATAGACAGTCTTAACATGGTTGGTTGTAATGTCATGTGACAACAAGGTCATACATGTTTATCTAGTTAGTGAACAGACAAAAGCATATTGTCAGTTATAACGAAATATCGATCCATATATACATAGCAAAATATAATAGACTGTCAAAAACAAAACACACATGTGGATACATATCACTTTTACAACATAACTCCATATGAACTTACGAACACAATGGCTTGGTAATCCTTGCAGAATCACAACAGCATTGACTGGTTTTTGTGTTTCATACATGCCTACATATGTCTGAAATGCTGCATAAATACAACTGAGAAACACATCTTTTTGAAATTATGAAGATGTGTAAATCCATGCCTCATATTGAAGTCTCCTCTGAAAATGTTCTCTCTAGAAGGACAAGGAAAGCTTTTTAAACGAACTACTCAGGTCTTTCGATTTTTATATTATGAATGATAATATTTACTTAATGCCAGAGAAAAGTTTGAGCGTTGTAGAATGGATCAAATGAATCTTAATGATATTTCAATAATTTGAGCACAGTGATATGTTTTGGCTGTTTTGGTAATATTTCGAGCAAAATTACTGCCCGTGATCGCGCCTACTGTTGGAACTGTTTTGTTCCTTATTCACACTTTTATGGTTTGTACTCATATATATGGTTCTTTTTTCTCTCTCGTGTCAGTTTCATTCTTGTGTATCCAGGTTGTTGACAATTGTGCTGAGTAACCGTCGTTACATGTATCCAGTGTGATCTTAATGAATATAGATTCTGTTATTATTCTCTCTTTCCACTTAATTTGTGGATGGTGACTAGCAGTGGAATCCAGGATGCACATTTCGTCTTATTTGGGACTCTTCAGGTGAATGTACCTACATTTCCCAGTGAGTGATAATGTTCCCACTGAGGCTCGAACCCAGTGCCCATAGTTTCAAACGCCAAAGCGTTATCCACTAGACCACTTGGGCCATGAGAGCCACCATTTGTTCATATTAGATTTTAGAATGCAAACATTGTTCCAATCAATATTGTGGTTTTTGTCCGATACATGTGCCGTTATAGACGATTTTTTTCTAAATTGTTGTAAGCTTGTGTTCCTGTTGGTTGACCTTTAGTTAGACAGGCGCTTATGTTCATTTACTCTTATTTTGAGTGATCTGGACGTTTGACCCACATATGTAGTCGGACACTAGGCACAAGATATTTTGTTTATACGAGTTTGACCACAGATTGATATCAGTTAGAGAACCTGGGTGCGAACCCCAGTGGGAGCGTACTGCCGATGATTCCCAAACTAGGATGAAACAGCAGTGATTTCAAATCATGTCTCTAAAATACACCATTTTGAAGGGTGACTACTAGAATATAGGTAAAAGTGAAGCATTTATGATGCAATACGCCACATATACTATCATGAAACAATAAAGATTTTACATGTTTAACTTTGAAGCCTGCCGACTAGATATGACTATTAAGCAACATTTACTGCCATGAATTAGTAAGTCGTGTTCATTGAAATTGGAGAATTTAGGGGTTGGGGAATGCTTTAACATCACCCCTTTTTTTTATATTTCATTCCATAATGTCTTACACCGGGGAGATATTTACTTTATTTGATTTTTGTGAAGGTTTCTGGAAAAGATGAAACTGGCGGAATATTAGAAATGTCATGGAATCGTGATCGTATTTTCGATAAAGAAGCTGCTATGGTCTTTTTAAGTCGTGTAAAATCTTCTAAAACAGCTGAGTAAGTCTGCATTGTTACGTTTTCAGTTTATAGACACGTATTTAGGTAAGATGTCTTATATAGTCATCAGATGGGGTAACCCATTAAGTTTATTAAGTTGGGTTTCATAAAATAACCAAATATCACGAGTTGGAAATCATAAGCCATTGGATTGAAACCAAGTGACTGTATGTTAGTGTATTTGTCTTGTAACCTCTTGGTGGGGTTTGATCTCGCAATTTTGTGAGTGCTCACTGGTGAAGGATTTCAAACTATTGTAAAATAGCTCTGTCCAGTGCTCTTTAGTTTTCAGCGGTTGTGTCAGCCACCATAACCCTAACATATCTCACAATTAGGCCAAAACAAACATTCTTGAATAGATGGGTACATTCTGTTACATAAAACTAAATCATAAAAGCGGATATTACCAAGATTTATAAACACAAGATGTAATTTAAAAACAGATAGATACTTTTCGCAATAATTATTGTCTTAATATTGTTATAATTCTCTTTGGTTGTTCATTTTCCTTCTATTTGTCCAAAGTTTTGTTTGTTTTATTTTTAAGAACTCAACATACTTGAGCAGCACCAAATAAGAATAAGTACTTATTTGCTTATGTAATTGTAATTTATTCTTAGAGTTGTACAAGTATCTGTTAAACAGAAAATTAAACCACGTCCGCAAGGTTTGAACACAGTTGAAATGTTACGAGTGGCAAGTTCTGGATTAGGTATTGGACCACATAGTACAATGGCGATCGCTGAACGACTTTATACCTCTGGTTACATTAACTATCCACGAACTGAAACAACTGCTTATCCAAATACATTTGACTTGAGAGGTTTGGTACAGCAGCAGGTAATAAAAATGATAAACTTTTGATTAGCGATCATATTTTAATTTTATTTTTCGTTAAATGGTTCTCAGTATTCATACTGAGTTGTTTTCTGTGGTATGTGCTTAGCCGGCCCAACAATTACATTCTCTTCAAGTATTTACGACGATATTAGATGAACATTGGAGCGTTCATCGACCAACACTTCATTATGCAGAAAATTCATTTTGATGAAGTCACACAGTGTTATACAGTAATATTTTCTAATGCCATTTCGAGCACAATTTATCGCTCATAATCATATCAAGTTACCCATACAACTTTCTGACTTCGTTTATATACATGAGTAAAAATTGATTGAATAAATCAAAGCCAATATAAACTTCAATAGACATATGTGAAACAGAAAGAAAGATAAAGTACATTCGGAAATAATATTAGTGTTATCAATAAAATATAATACGCTTGGAAATAAGACGAGTGTTGTTAGTCACTAAGATAGGGAATTATCAAAACATTTAGCTCCAGTATTATGTCCCATCATAAATTGTTTAAACTAGGCTAACTAATTCATATAAAGTGGAAAGGAAACTAAGTTCCATTCAATTAGAGAATAATGAAAAAATGGTTAGTTTTGATATAACTAGTCTTTACACTAATATTCCAATCAATATAACCTTAGAAGCAGTTGAAAAAGAACTAACTGCTGATCCTGAACTTACTCATAGGACGAAGCTACCCATTGAGGAAATTATTTTAGGAATCCAATTATGCCTCACATCTACTATCTTTAAATTCCAAGGCAAAATATATAAACAAACAGAAGGTGTAGCAATGGGATCACCAATATCCCCTATAGTAGCAGATATATTTATGGACAGTTGGGAAGATATAGCTCTTAATGCATTTAATCCTACTCCAAAAATATGGTGGAGATATGTGGATGACGCTTTCGCAGTATTAAAAACAGAACATATCTCCAGCTTCCTGACACACAGAGAAAAGGGAATAAAATTCGCATTTGAATCAGAAAATGAACAAAGAGAATTAGCCATGTTAGGTTGTAAATTAAAACAAACAGATGAAGGTAAACCACATACTGGTGTTCATAAAAAGCCAACATATTCTAATAGATATTTAGACTTTAATTCGTCTCTTCCGTTAACTGTTAAGATAGGCTTAGTGAAGTGTCTAACACACCGAGTTATAGCACTAAGTAGTACAAAAAGGACCTAAGTGATGCGATGAAACACCTAGAAGAAGCGTTGGTGTTGGACAGCTATCCTATAAAATTCATTAGGTAGATCAGAAAAGATCAAAAGCGAAATAAAAACAATAGTGAAACTAATATTGATAATATATATATATATTAGTGTATGCGTATATTGATCGATTGATTTTTGTTTAAAATGAACTCTGTGCAAGTATGTCAAAATTGTTTTTATAGATATATTTAATAATGTCTTTGCCCTGTTAGCAGATGACGGGAAGGCAACGAAATAAAAGATGGTTCCATTCTATTCTGCTAAAACTGTAGTTCTCGCTTTGTTCAAAAAGCCAAGTTAGTTGATATATGTGAAAACCTAAGTAGTTTTAACATGACTCACACACTAATCGACTTAACAATTAATACCAAGTAAAATAAAATTAAGGACAGATGGATCACAACACAGCTATTGAGCAATAAATTGTCCTCGAAGCGTTATCAGTAAGTATTACTGTATAACACTGTGTAACTATCAAAATAAATTTTCCACATAATGGGATTATACTCTACCATAGTGCCCAAGTTTTATTCTTATACCAAAACGTTTTCTGAGAGAACAAATTGTGAATATAGAATTTTGATGTATTTTCCATTATTTTCAAGTATTAGTTAGATTGAAAAGTTATATTCGTTAAATAACTATTAAAAATCGGATTAGAATTGGTAAGAACTTGATTCCTGTTGAGGAGTCTACGTCAGCCTACTGACATAACATGGTGTTTGTTAGCTTTGATCATTTTATGGGACGTAAATGTTTGTTAAGTCAAATGGTGACTGAGAAAATTGCCTTATTTTAAATAATCTAGTATGATAACCGTCCTGTAATAATTCAGCTTCTTTCTTTGCATTTAACTGAATAGATATGATAATTTGCTCCTCACTTTACATTGTCATAGTAAAACTGGTGAAGACGGCAATATTATTATTATTGTTCCCTCGGGTTCCTAGTGGAACATAGGGCCTCAACTGCACGTTTCCAATTGCTTCTGTCTTCTGCTGTACATTTCACCTCCATCAATGTTAGTCCATACTGTTTCAACTCTTCTTCATACGATCTCTTCCATGTCACACTTGGACGTCCCACTTGCCGCTTCCCTTCCGGGTTCCACTCGAGCAATGGCCTGACGCGCGCGCGATGTCACCCAGCGGTCTCCTCTGCGAGTGTCCAATCCACCTCCACTTTCTCTTGCATATTTGTTGGGCGATTGGTTCTTGCTTTGTTTGTTCCTTGCTAGTTCTTGCAGAGTCCTAGGTCGCCCTTCTTTGGTAGTTTCACGAGGTAACCTTTCCTCCAGTCAGTAGGCACCTTTCCCTCCTTCCAGACCTTTTGCAATAATGGAGTCAGCATGTCTGCTGTAGTCTCTGGGTCCGCTTTCAGTGCTTCAGGGGGTATTCCATCTGGTCCAGCTGCTTTTCCAGCTTTCAGAAGCTTGATTGCGTTCAAGACTTCAGCTTTCGTTGGAGGATTGGTGTCAACTTGCAGTTGTGTGTGCGCTGTTGTTGGTATTTCTGGACGGGTTGCAGGTGGTGGTCGGTTCAAGAGTCCTTTGAAGTGATCCGCCCATTGTTTAATCTGTTTTTCTTCCTTGGTAATGGGCTTCCCTTGGCTGTCTTTTATAGGTTTCGCTTGTGTTGGTCTCTTCCCGGATAGAGATTTGGTTATCTGATATAGTGTCCTCAGGTCCCTTTTGCCTGCTGCCTTCTCAGCTTCAGTGACCAGGTTGTCGTAGAATCGTCTTTTGTCCTTCCTAGCACTCTTCTTCACTTCTTTGTCCAGTGCTGTGTAAGTTGAGCTCAGCGTCTCCTTCTCCTGTCCGTCCTTGCATTGAATCATTTTCTCTTTCACCATTCTCCTCTCTTCTATTAATTTCCAAGTGTCCGTTGAGAGCCATTCCTTGTCTTGTCTCTTCTTTCTTCCTAGAACCGTTGAACACGTTTCGTTGAGAATCGCCTTCAGAGACTTCCAATGTTCTTCCACGCATGATTCTTCAGTGATGTCGCGTAGTGTTTCCTGCTTTGCTCTGACAGTTGCAGTGAAGGTGTCTTTTGTGGTTGTGTCCTTCAGTAATCGAGTGTTGAACTTGCATTGTGGCCTATCCCCAGCTATCCTCGAGGCTTTTAGTTTCACCTTGAAAGTCCCTTGTACTAGATAGTGGTCTGAACCCACATCTGCTCCTCTCCTTGACCTTGTGTCCAGTAGGCTCCGTCTCCACTTTCTTGAAATTGAGATGAAGTCTATTTGGTTCTTGGTGTTTCCATCTGGTGAAATCCATGTCGTCTTGTGTATATCCTTGTGTTTGAAAACACTGCCACCAATCACCAAATCATTGAAGGCGCAGAAGTCTGAGAAGAGTTCACCATTGTCGTTCATTTCGCCGAGGGCCTCACGACCCATGGTGAGTTCTCTTCCTGTGTTGTCTCGTCCCAGCTTCGCATTCATGTCGCCCATCAGGATTTTGATATCGCCATTTGGGACGTTGTCCATTATTGTTTGTAGTTGTCTGTAGAACTCCTCCTTCTCTTGTTCTGAGACGTTTGTAGGCGCATAGCATTGAATGACTGTAACTTTCCTTCCTTTTGAGTTGAACCTGGCTGTCATTATCCTGGAGGAGATTGGTTCCCACTGCATGAGAGCTTTGGTTGCTGTTGGTGACATCATGATGGCCACTCCCTCGGTGTGCTCGTGGTTGTCCTCTGAGTGGCCGGAATAGATTACTGTCTCTCCAGTAGGTAGTTGGCACCTTCCAGTTCCGTTCCATCTGCTCTCGCAGATTCCCAACACTTCTATTCTGTACCTTCTCATTTCAGCGGCTATCTGGGCAGCCTTTCCAGTTTCGTACATTGTACGAACATTCCAGGTACCCATCCTTACTTTTGCTTTCATCGAAAAAAGGCACATCGGCTGACTGGCTTCCCGAAGGCTTTCACCAGCCTGCGTCATTCCACTTTCTAGATCCCAGCCAAAATAAGGTTATTGTTTATATTTTTAGAACTTTTAATATATTTATTCGTTGGAGTTTCTGTAGGAATTTGGTTAAGTTTTGGGAGTGGAGTTGCTAGCACCACGCCCCAACCCTCCCTCTTTATCCGGGCTTGAGACCGGCTAAAAAACTAGAGAACTAGTAATCTAGGCGAGGTTAACTATACTTTTCCGAGATTAGAAAGATCATTAACTTTACATTACATGTCGGTGGTTCATTGTTAAAATGCTCGCCAGCCGCGTATTTTTTCTGGTTTCGATACCCAGCCGACGTACTTGTAAACCCCTCCTAGCCGGCTGTAAGTTCAGAAAAGAGGGAAAGTTGGGTGTGAGGTTAACAACCCACCCTGTAATAAACGACATCATTTCCATGGAAATTCCAAATCTCGTGTATGCCCTACTTGAAACACAAGGAATGAAAAACACGTAATCACAATGTTTCATTGTTAACTAGTATCGAAATAACAGTAAATAAAGGGCTTCGAAATGGCGATGGTTTCTTAGGGGTTGAGATTCCTAGCCTCACATTTAAGCTTTCCCTTTTCCAGGCTTACCATCGGTTAATAAACTAGGCGCAGTTTAGGACTGAGCCTCTCTAGAAGCCAAGCCGGATGAGGTCAGTGGTTGGCGAAAATCCTACCATTCAACTATGGATGCATGGTAGTTAGGTATACAATTAATTTTTCACTACTTTAAACTGATCAGTTTGGAAAAATCGACTTTTGCCTTTATAACTGTTAGCAGTATTTGCCCCTTAAATTATCAAAGCTTATCATCTCATCCTCTTTCTAAAGCAGTGGTAAAGATGATGTCTGAAGTGACGGTGGGAGGCCCTTTCAATAAAATTCAAATTTGTCACTATCATTTCATTCCACATAATAACAATAACTGTGGTGAATATTATAATAACTAGATCCTATCATAAAATAAAATACTAAAGTCAATTACTCATATTATAAATATGATATACCATATGGATTACGTATCCATCTCTTTCCGTTCAAGGAGTCAAAGAAAAGCAGTTTGGTTTCAAATGGATAACCCACAATAGTCAGCACTTCACTTATTTGACTTATACTAATAACAGACGAGAGCGTAAGGCATAGTTTCATGCTTGGAAACTTTAGTGTAAATGGATTTCAGTACAACGTGAAAGACAATAGGTTCGAAATTCATAAAATCTATGTACATGATAAGTTAACAAATTGTAACAGAGATTTTTACGAAATCATGATGTGTAACATTAACTTCATTTATCATGTAGAGTATGTAGCTAGCAAAACTGACGTTGTTGTCTGAACGCTGAAAACTAATCTTCGCGTTCTCCTGTATAAAGGTGATCGAAAATCAAGTTTTGATGTGGTTTCTTTATTTACTAGTATTCCTATTTGTGATTCACTCGATATTATGAAATATGAACTTGAAAACAATCAAGAAGTATTAACTAAATCTTTATTATCAATAGATGAAGTTATAAAATGTTTAAAACTATGTTTGGAATCTACATATTTTACCTTTAAAGATAAACTATACTGTCAAACAAATGGAGTTGCAATGGGTTCACCAGCATCTCCGATTGTAGCAAACCTATATATGAAAGCCCTAGAAAAGAAAGCATTGACAAGTCTCAGCTGTCATCCTAGAATATGGTACAGATATGTAGATGACACATTTTATTGTCATAAAGAAAGCTGAAAAAGAAAACTTTCTAACAGAAATTAACTTAATCTCAGAATATATTGAGTTTACTAATGAAATAGAATCGGCTGAGAGAACTCTAAACTTTCTTGATTGTCTTGTAAAAAGACAAACTGACGAGGAACTAAAGTTTACCATATACATAAAGTCGACACATTCCAATAAGTATTTGAATTTCCAATCAGATCATCCAATAGGAACGAAAGTTTCAGTAGCTTTAAATCTCATTAACAGAGCTAGAAACATTATAACAGATAATGACAATATGGAGAACGAGATAACCAATATAAAACAGATTTTGATTGGAAATGGTCATCCTGAAAAGCTACTAGATAATATCATCAATAGAAAGGAGCATAAAGGAAAACAAAAAGTTGAAAAATCCTGGCCATCGACGATAGCCATTCCATATCGAAAAGACACAGCTGAACAAATTCAAAGACTATTTGCTGAATATAATATTGAAGTCTATGTCAAACCTTCCAATTCTCTAGAGAAAGCGCTGGTGCATGTCAAAGATATAGTTCCCAAAATGTCACAAAGTAATTGTGTCTACAAGATAAAGTGTTCAGAATGTGATGCATGCTATATAGGGGAGAGCAGTAGGCAGGTGAAGGTCAGAGTGAATGAATATAAACTATGCACGAAACGTCCACCCAGAAATGAAGTAGAATAAAAAGTCTAGAAAAAAAGATCGGCTATAGCAATGCATGCGATAGACAGCGGACATAAGATTGATTTCGACAATGCCGAAATTCTTGGAAGAGGATTTCATTCACATAAAGAAAGATTGACTTCTGAAGCCTTGCACATTTTAACCACATCAAATGCAGTGAATAGGAAAGAAGGGATAGACTTATCACCTATATGGCAAGACAGATGAAAAAACAACAAACACTCTATGAGCCTCCATGGCCTTTTAAAACATGTAGTATTATGTATATCACATATAAATTCATGTATTTTCCATATGACAAATAACATACATACACACACACATGCATACAAATCTAATCTTTACAAATCAACTATAGAAGATGAAGTATAATTATATTTCGATGGTTTACACACAATGATAAGTTTTGTTATTGGTAATTTTGCTCGAAATAATCCACAATGCTCAAACTTTTTACTGACATTAGTCATTACAAATATATGTGAGGACTGCTTACCTATTTCTATTGGTAAAAAATGTCCATGGACAAATAACCTTCAAATAAACTGACTTCATATTATGTAGAAATTTTTGACTATATATTTTGATGATTAATAAAAATCCGAATAAATCTGCTGAATAAGCTGTGACTTACACGGCGAAACGTGCAGAAAAATCTTGTTTTGATTTTCTTAACACGCTGGGATTAATTTAAATAATTTATAATGAATCAATCTGACTCGGCGCTCAAATTATTCCAGGAAATTCGTAACACCTACGGTCTGGAAACCTATAACTTTTAAGAGTATCTGAAAATCTAGTTGAATATTCCCAAGAAGATGGGATCCAAACTCTGCCTGCAAGAATCGCACGTAGACAGTCCAAAGTTAGAACGACCTTGAATCACTCAAAACCACAGTATCACATTTTCCTCCACACAGTAATCCAGTCTAACGCTAAGGTCAATATACCGCTTTTGGCCACTTCAGTGTGTATTTATCAATTTACTTGCTCGTGTGGAGCAAAGTATATCGGTCGTAGGCAACATCAAGTCCACAAACGTATTCTGGACCACTGCCCAGCTTGGTTAGCCTGAGGAGAAAAGAAGAATAGCAACAGCTTGATCCTCGAACACCTTGTCATCTCCGGACATCGAGCACCCCCACACGAATGCTTCACAGTGATACACAAAGTCCCCCAATATCGTGCAAAGGGACTTCGGATACGCCATCTGTACATAGCTGAAGCATCAGCTATTCTCTCGCCCTACCATGGACACAGTGAAGTTCTTACTACAATTTTGCTTCTTTCCTTTAACATGTAAGCTCACTATCGTTATTATTATTATTGTTCTTAATACTTTTATTATCAGCATTATTCCCATCATCCACATTTTATTACCACTCTATTACTGTTTATTAATAACATTGCTTTTTCATACAGATTTTTTACAAAAACACTTTATAGCCTTTCCACTAAGTTCCTGTCCATTCTACACGAGCTTATTGATAAGTCATTATCTCACACTTGTTAAGACATGCCAACTTCTGTCTCCTCTCTAACTTACAATCAGTCATCCCTTCTTACACCTTAGATTATGTAGTACAATTTTCAAGGACAAAGTTTACCATTATCTGATTGGTCTGAAGATTTCTTTATTGATTGTAATTACAATTGTACAGCTCATGAAAATGAATCGTCGAAAAGAAAATTTTCCTCGCTGTTTGTGTCTTTTTCTTATGACCCAATATGGGAATATTTCGTACATTGAAGAAAACCACAGTTGTAAAACAACATATCAAATCACACCTCACGACCTCAAAATTATGGATTAATCAGGAACAAGTACGAATAATAAGAATGAAGCTAATAGGTGATGATATATAAATATTAGGACAACGATATAGAGCCTAGGAGAAAAAAGGAGAACAGTTACAAAGCTACTTAGCAAACCCAAACATCGTAAATAGTGATCGTTCAGGAGGGATTTTCCGACTACAATTATTCCGTTGCAGAGTAGACATTAATTCAGTGTAAATCATCTGATCAAAATGCTGTTTACCTGTATGTTTTATTGTATGTAGCCTTTATCTGTTGTTCCTTTAATATATAACTGCATGTTAACTGCCTCAAGCTTTATTTTTAACCAGTGAAATAGCGGGAAATTCCAATGCACTTCCATTACCCAGTACAAATTGTTTTACATTAGGCTGTGATATTTTATCTTCTAGTTGACGTGGAGATGCGGACTATTGCCAACTTGGGTCTTTAATCAGTCTGTTTAAGTGTAATGTTGATACTGCCTATTTACCATATAAATATACTATAGCACAACATAAAAGGGAATTTTTTCCTTCATGTTCACCCGAACCAATAAGCTACATGATGATCTGCTGAATAAGTATGATTTTGTAGTGAATATCGAAGGTGGTATTTCTGTTATTCCCGATTATATTCCACTTGTTGAATCACAGTTAGTTATTTGTTAATTTTTCTTACATCCTTGACAATTTTTTATCATATGCAGACAAACAGTCCAGTTTGGGGAGATATAGCGCGTGAAGTCCTACACTCTGGATTAACTCCACCACGTCCTGGTCATGATGCCGGTGATCATCCTCCAATTGCTCCGATGCGCTATGCATCACCTCAAGAATTAGGACATGAGGCCTACCGACTATACGAGTATATTACTCAACATTTTATCGCTACCGTAGGTATTTATATCGACATATATATGAGTGATTTTCTTTATCAGTATTAATTAGTTGAATGTGAACTTCTACAGATATTCAATTATTTATTCTTCCAGTTTCTCAGAGCTTTTTATATTGGAGCCTACCTTTCTGTTTGTTTGCTACAATTTATGCATGGTAGGTACTTTTTTCTGGTTAACAGAAACTTCAGACACAAAGAGAGATCGTACGGTGTTTTGGTTGCCCAAATCAGCTCTACGATTAATTCATATATACTGCATTGTTATACACCTCCGTATCTTGTTCTGGAGTACTTACCTCACTTCGGACCATTGGTTACTTTGAGAATGTATTTATGTGTCACCATTCAGGTTCATGATTCTGGAAAGCCTGTTTGGGATCGTGTGGTAAATGAAAAATTAAGACAAGCCTTCATTTAAAGATGTTAATATGACAAGAGTCTTAGAGTCAACCTTAGGCTAGTACTCGACTTAGTTTGGCTTAAAAATGGGTTTAGACATTAATAATTTTATAGGTTTAGGATATTGGGAGCTGATGGATTTCTGTGAGTTTGCCTAACATGATTTTCACGTGCTCCTACTGGCCTCATGACGTGAACTTTGCTAATAATTAAGATAAACTGTCGTCTAATACTCTGGTTAACTGTGAACTGATCAAACCTCGATGGTATGACATGGGACTATGGTTAGTAACAAAACGTCCAGTAAAGAAATTCCTTAGGAACTGTAGGGCAATAAGATGTCATTGTATTCGTCCTGTTACTGGTCATCATTCTTCGTCATGATTGTGAGCAGTCGATCTTAATGGAAGTCAAAGAGGTGGGAAATGCATCAGTGGTAGACAATAGTTATTTATAACCACTGAAGAAAATGATAAATGTTAGTAAGGTTATTTCTGATAAAGAAAGGATACTGAAAACAAGTCGAGACAGATAGCTATAGCCTTAAGTGGATCACTTTAATAAACAGTTTTTGTTGGATTTACAGTTGCGCTTTAGTAGACTACCGTCCAACGTAACGTCAAAGTTAGGAAGATTATTTTGTATCTGGAACAGAGTGGAGCCGTATGTGATAATTTGGTCAAGAATTACTGAATTTACTAACCGAAGCACAGAAACAGGAGTAATTAAATGGCTTGACGCACATCATTTATCAATTTAGTTAATAGGTAGGGAACAAGCATTTATAAGACAACTATAAAGTCAGGTTGACGAACTAACGTACTTTCTGAGGTTTTCATGTGTACACGAGAATGAAAACATAACAGGGAAGGATGTGAACCCCCCTTGTCTAGGGGAAGGTGTGTCACTGAAATCCCTTTCAACACATATTCAGAAGGTAGACACATTTAAAGGCTCTGTGCACTTGATATATTTCTAACTTGAAGGTTGCGTTCGATCGTGTCGATTCACAGATATTTTCGCAGTGTTTGACTGTGAACAGAGTGCTCTACTAACATGCTTTTTTGGCCAGTCAAGGCTGTCCATATATGTCTATGAAACAAATAATGGTTTGTTGAGGTTTTTTCATCTTTTTTATAATAGTACAAATGGAGGTGATTTCCCTTAATTCTAGCTTCCTAGAGATTGATTTATATAGGGTAGGAACCAGTCGGTCAACCGGAAAGAATCATGTGTAGTTCTTTAACAAAAGTATGAATAGGTTAACTGTGCGTCTGGCTTCAGTAACTCCTATATTCATCGTTAGGTATAACAGCTGATACTTGGAAGCCAAGTTTCATCCATTAAAGTCTGAGAATGTTTGTTTTGTTATACATGTTATGTATCTCGTCGCATTATCATTGGCAACCTTTATGCAGATAATGCCCGATTGCTGTTATGAACAAACACAAGTGACAGTGTCAGTTGGTGATGGTGAACTATTCACAATTAGTGGATTAAAAGTTGTTCAACCTGGATTTACACGTATACTAACCTGGCAAGCGATGGAAGATAAACCTTTACCAAAGTCACTAGTTCAAGGCTATCATTTCGAGTTACTTGATGAACCAAACTTAGTTGAAGGTCAAACTGGTCCACCAGATTACTTAACTGAAGCTGAATTAATCACAGCTATGGAACGTCATGGTATTGGGACAGATGCGTCTATTCCAACACATATAGAAAATATTGTACAAAGAGGTTATGTTCAAGTAAGTTCATTTTATTAATAATTATAGTATTGTCTTTGTCTTTACTAGCTGTATTTAACTTACTGGCACTTCCTACCGCATTTGTTACTAGTTACTGGTACACGCACTGTCTCTAGCTAATACTCATGGACTACAACTAACAGAATATTTCCCAATCAACTTCCTGTTGAAATGACTTCGAATCAATGTTTACAAAACGCAGAAAGTGTGATTCTATTACAGGTGAATGATTCATGCGCAATAAGTTATAAGAATACGAGGATTCTTAGTTCTTTTTTTGTTTGCATACGTTGTAAAATAGACGAAATGTGTTTGTAAGTGTGAAACAGTCAGCCAGAAGGAAAGTAATTATTTCGCTACCTTGATTCGTTTATTTGTTTTCTCTTCCCGATCGATAGCTGCTACCTTAACGTGGTGGGACAGGCTTGCACATCGCAATAACCCAACAAGCTACACCGGCTGAAACTATTATTCCTGCAGCACATACCGTGCCAGGAAGGTTGTTAGGATAGCGAATAGACTAAAAGCAGTTACCGGCTTAGTGCAAGACATTTTTACTTTATGCTGGGGCTCTGTGGGCAAAGTTGTACTGCTGAGGAATAGGGATATAACAGCAGTAAAGTGCTTCCCTCAAATGACCAGCATGCCAGCTATGCTGTCTCCACTATGGAGAGAGGGGATAAGCGGACATTACAAACAGCTGACTGCGAAGCAGTTACGTCCCCAACTAGATCGTGAATCTGAGTCACCATTTAAGGAAGAAATAGCGAAATGAGTATCTCAGATAGACAGCAAGACTCATTCTGAGGAAGCCTGGCTCAATACACAGTTAGCTGTAGACACAGCTGTAAATAACCTAAAACTAAAATTTACTTAGGGCCAATGGATTTCTACTATCTCATCCGAACTGATTGACGCAAGAGCACTGATTCCGACGAGCTCCAAATGTGATGAAGAACGGAAGCTAATAAAACCCAAACTAACAAGAAGTATTCCAAACGAACGTGAACATTGGTGGTCGACAAAAGCTAAGGAAATGGAAAAGGCATCTCCGATAGGAAAGACCAGATAACCATTTAGTCGTATAAGGGAAACAGGTGGTAAGGGCCAAATGATAGGTGAAACGATCTCGAAGAAAAATGACTCCTTAATTAGCTCCCAGGATAGAAAACTGGAGCGTTTCGAAAGAACACTTTGGGGAGCAATTTAATTGGCCTACAGCCACGCTCAACTTGCCCAGCACCCAACACCTTGAATGGGATATAAACACTGGTCCTCCGTCCCTAACTGAGGATACTTAGGTTGTCACTAGTTTGAAACGAGGCAAAGCTGCGGGACCCTATGGAATAACTCCAAAGGTGTTTAATTACGGTGAAGACAGTTTACCGTCCGCCTTAACTAAGGTATTAGGCAGCGTCTGGGAATCAGAGGAAGTCCCGTCGGATTGGTAAGTCGTTGATTGTCCCGATAAACAAGAAGGGAGACAAGCCTCCCTGTGATAACCACAGGGGGATTAGCTTGACCAATATGGTATCCAAAGTTCTAGGCTCGATAATCATGCGTAGACTATACGTAGTGATCAAGAGGAACAAACACGAGAGAAACAAGCAGACTTTAGATAAGGAAGACGGTGTATTGATCATATCTTTACCCTTCGACAGATTCTGGAACACAAGCATGCTTACCAGCGTCCAACAATCGTCATATTTCTTGACCTGAAAGCGGCATTCGATTCTGTCGATCGATATGTACTATGGTGAGAAAAGACATTGCACTGATCAAGGCCCTCTACTCGGACTCAGCCAGGTAAGAGCTTACGGCGAGTTGTCATCTGAAGTGGTGACAACCAGTGGTGTCCGTCAGGGATACCCACTATCCCCATTTCTGCTTAACTTCATCACAGATGTACTAATGGACTAAATCCTGAGTGACTTCAGCGACTCGAGGAGTGACTTGTTGCCACCAGGGAATAATCTCGTTGACTTAGAATATGCATGCGGATGATATAGTCCTTCTAGGTGATGAAGACGCTGACAAAATAGATCAGAGTCTTCTCAACGCCTTGAGGAGCAGCAGTTCGTGAATGTCTGGCATGCGACTTGCTACTGCCAAATGTAAGATCATCTGGCTACAGGATTGGACTACATTGACTCCTAGCTTACCTACAATATATATATAAGCTTATTTAACCTACTCTATGGATAAATATTCAGAAACACAAAACACCTTTTTTGTAATCTATATGCTTATATGCTAAAATATTCCGAAAATGGTCTATTATTATTTGTCATATCCTTGAAATATAAAACTCACCTTATGGTAGTTTATTACATCCAAATAGATGCATTCTTACTTCTGTTTATTAATAAAGGAGTATCATGCAGATAGATGATAACAGTTTATTCATTATACGATTCTCGTTATACTTATTTCATATTTTATTTACAGCTTCTTTCTGGGCGTAAATTACAACCTACACCATTGGGTATTGTACTTGTTCATGGCTATCAGACAATCGATGCTGAACTCGTCTTACCACATATGCGTAAAGCTGTTGAAGAACAATTAAATCATATTGCTCGTGGTCATGCTAAATACGATTTAGTATTACAATTTGTCTTAGCTATATTCGCTGCTAAGTATCGTTATTTTGTTGAAAATATTAATGCAATGGATCAGTTGTTTGAAGTTTCATTCACTACTTTAGCTAGTTCAGGTAAACCTTTATCTAGGTGAGTTATTGTTTTATTTTTATCTGACTTTTTTGAATACACTGAAAAGTTATAAAATTTCTGATAAGCTTGTAAATATAATATATCTGTATACCTGCATGAATCATACATCTTACTCTGTCACTAAGTCACATGTCGAGACTGATTACAGAAGCATTGAGATCAATACTTAACTGAATATCTTTTCAACTCTATTCGTAACCTTAAGTTATTCACTATGAATACTGTGCACGCTACTGAAAAGACGTTTAAAAATACAGCCTTCGTTAGGAATTTCTATATTCATTTGTGTCATTAACGTATCTGCTTTCATGGCACACTCTATTGCTAGTGAATAATGTATTCCGCAGTTTTCAAGTGAAACACTTCTTACCAGGGGCTGAAATATCCCAGTTTAAACGTTCTTATAACGACTCAATTTTCTAGGTAATATATCTTCAACTAGATGGCAATGCATTCTAATTCCCTTACACTTATTGAAATTTACTCAGCCGCATAATATCTTTAGTATTGAAGCAAACAAGTTTGGCTTGTTTCCCAGTTAATAAAAATGAAATGTCGCTTAGTGGGAGCACATATCTTTTAGTAAAATTGGTGTTTATGATAGCGTCAAAAGAAAATCGAGGAAAAACCCAACATTTATCTTTCATTTCTTGCATTCCAGGGGAATATAAGACTTTAAGCCTTCACCCTTCAAGTTTTAGTAGCGGTGATATTGTTTTTACTGTATGGCGTCGCCAGCCTCACACTCAATGTTTCCTCGTTACTGGGCCTACTACGCATAAGGTGAGGTATAGTAATGTGTCGGCTGGGAATTAAACGTGACGTTCTGTATGGATGTTGTGCATTCCAGCATTGAGCCACCAATGCATATGATGTATTTTGTCGTCAGTTTGCATTGATAATTACTAAATAGACACCCAACTACAATATCAAATGACTTGAAATAACCTGCGTTGGAAATATCGACCTTATTACAATTGCCGTCATCATTTTTACTCTTCAGATAACTTTGAGTACTAAATAGGCACTTGAACGTCTATTCTATGCTATGTTTGTTTCAGATGTGGAAAATGTCATCGGTATTTAAAGTTTATTGACTCTCGACCACAACGTCTTCATTGTTCAATATGTAACGAAACGTATACACTACCAGCGAATGGTACTATTCGACCATACAAAACTGAAAAATGTCCTTTAGATAAGTTTGAATTATTGTGTTGGTCTCAAGGCTCTAAGGGCAGAGTAAGCACTTTCGTACTCTATATTTCATTACAATTTACAGTTATGACAATTTTTCCAATGATTTAAATTAAGTGCTAAAATATCACTGAGAAAGTTATTATTATTTTTATTATTAAGGGTTTTTACACTTCTTATTTATTTGAAACATGAACCTGATACCATATCGGTGTCAAGAGATATACCATGCTAAATAATTAGACAACATAAGGAACACAAAAGATGAATAGAAGATAAAGAATAGAACAGAAGCGAGCGGACATACTTATCAAGAATTTTATATTGCTTCTAGAAATAGGAGAACGATGAGAATAGCTTACGATCCTGAGCAATGTCTGCTAAGTTTTCAAACTATTCAGTCGCATTACCTCTCGGGCCCCACCCAAGGAGTCTTGATGTACCAACTGATCTTCCAACACAACTGTCCTTCATCTCATGATCCTACCTCATAGACCACATCAGCTTTAACAGCTCTTCATCCACCGAATAGACAACAAATGTTATGGAAGCCATCGTTATTACATTCGAGACCACCGAAGGTAATGTCTTAAAATGAAGTTACCAATTGACAAATAACCTCTGCGCTGTCCGAAAGGGTAACGTCAAACCTCAGAGTTACATAACCTACCGGATACAAGCAACTCTACAGAGGCAATGGTTGTTGAACATACAGAGTTGCCTCATAACTTAGTTAGGCTAGGTATCACAGATGTCACCTAATGGTGTAGTTGAAGACGTTGCCATTGAGCTTTTCGAGCTGAACCTTAAAAAGAAGCACAGTACATTATTGCCTCCTGAATGCTTCATACATATTGCCTTTGTCGTTTGACTTTCAAGTGGTGTATCACAGATTTACACAATCCTTACTGTTTAAAAATGCCCATTGATATTTTCAAAAGAATGGATACTGAACAAAGAGTACTCTTTTCGATAACTTCATCATCAGGCTCTACAGTTACATATATACATTATAGTGAATGTTGTTCATAACATTAATTCATTCATTCACTATAATGTATGTATTACTGTAGAGCCTGATGATGAAGTTATCGAAAAGAGTACTCTTTGTTCAGTATCCATTCTTTTGAAAATTCTAACTGTGTCTGTTGATTGCACGGTTCGACTCGAACTTGATTTTCTTGGGCTGAAACGAAAACCAGTGGTGTTAAGATAGTAACTTATGAATATGAATTTGTTAAATGGGTGATTGATTAATCAAAAGCAAAAATAAGGTCAGCGGTAATGAGTGATTTCGTTAAGTGATCAAATCACTAAAATCAACAGCATAGAATTAAAATATAAGTATGATGATAATGCGATTGCAATATTTTGTAAATTGTGTAGGAGGGGGGGGGAGAAATAATCATTCTATTTTTGAGTACTACGGTTTCCTAATGGCAGTGAAGCAGTTTTACATTTTTTGTTTCCATTTGCATCAATCCGTTTACTTTCTCCTCTAGAATATGGTTTTTTGTCCGTACTGCTATTCTCACCCACCATTTGAATCAATGCCAAAAACATCCGGTTGTAGTAGATGCCCTCATCCATCATGTCCTCTTTCAATGGAGTCTCTGGGTGTGGATGCCTGTCCTGACTGTCCATATGGTATTCTAGTCTTGGATGATTCTAATGCACCTAAATATCGTTTGAATTGTAATCGGTTAGTTTTATATATTGTTTAATCCTTCATCTTGTGTTTTAGTTAAGAAAAGAAGCAACTCTTAATTAAGGTTAACAAGAGGAAAGCTGTTTTGTGCCCTTTTTTGCAAGGACTACTAATAATTCGTGTAATTCAGGTTAATTACAATGAAACTTGAAGCTGGTTTATGCGAAATGTGTATGAAGCTTAGTCGCAGTAGTTTGATGACTTGACTAACAGAGTCAAACTTATGCATTGTCAACTGTGATTAGGATATACAGTGTAATATAAGCTAGAAAGTTGTGTTATTGGAAGAGAAATCTCCATCTAAGAACGATAAGACCAGCTATCTAAAGTCAACAACGATCGGTAAAACAAAGTGGGTTATCAATCTCTCAACACATGTGTTTAGTCCAACAGAAATAAATGTATTAGAAAAGGGACTAAAATTCAGCGTAGTAGTATACATGCTGAAACCCTATTTAAGAAATAGCACTTAGTGGGATAGACAGAACAACGGCAGATGAAGTATAGGTACAGTGTGCACTGACATCAAAACGCCAAAAATAGGATAGCCTAGCCTGACGAAACCAGAAACAAGAGGTTTAAGAATAACAAGGATATAGTAATCGCTAAATCAGAAAAGGGGAATGCAACAGTAAGATTAGACAAATCAGACTATTCGGAGAAGGTGAATACCCACATACATACAAGATCATATTAGGAAATTAAGAAACCAACAGACACTGTTATGAATAAGGTTAAAAAACCCACAGTGGATCTTATACACTAAATGAAGCCGTTTCTAGGTGAGTCTAAATGGTCTAATTTAATACCGAAAACTAATAACACCAGTAGGATGTATTGTGTTGTCAAAGTTCATAAGTCAGAATACTCTATTAGACTTATAATTGATTAAGAAGACAATTGCAGCGAAGAAAATTTTCTTTTCGACGAAGTCATCATCTTGGCTGTACATTCGCGTATTTATATCGAATGGATAGGAAAGTTCCAGAATAATGTCCGGTCAAGGGTCAAATTAGTAAAAATTAAAATTAGGAATTAGAATGCCATAATAAACAGGGGGATGGATAAAACAAACAAAGTAGCATCATGATAGCTAAGAAGATTGACATTGTGCAATTAGGGGTGAGAAATATAGAAATAACAAAATAGACAGGATGTTTGGATAAGAACTAATGTGATGAATAATTGTTTATGCAATCAGGGATTAAATGTGTGGAAATAGTAAAATGACAAAATAAACACGAAGTTCGGGTATGAAAATATGGTAGTGTAAACAGGGATTAAGAAAAACCTAAAATAACAAGAATAAACAGGAAGTTTAGGTAAGAAAGGCGATGGGATGGTCATTACTAAAAAAATACCTGTTTATGATGGCCATGGCAGGGACAGGGGTTGGACGTATTTCTTTTGGATACAAAGGGTAGGTTTGAACTTTTGTATAGCTAGCGCTTTGGCTATGCCCAGATGTCTTGATTTTACTCCCTTTAATAGGTTTGATTGAATCTTGTATACTATTTTGAAGGATTTTTCGAAAGGTGCTGAATTGACCAGATGTTCTGTCACTGGACTGTATACACGTTTTTGATTCTAAAAATTCACTTACTTATGAATTATTCAAATATTTGGAGCCATTCAAAATCTAGACAAAGAGATTCTGATAAAATTAAAAATAAAATTAGATAGGGAGGAAAAATTGGTTTCTTTGACATTCTCAGTTTATATATACGTACACTGATAAATCTGGCTATAGTGGCTGTCAAAAAACGAAGTCATTTCTGACCAAGAACTTGAAACTGGAACAAAAGTGCCACTAGAGGACATAATGCTAAAGTGCAGATATGTTTGACTTCCACAGTATTTAAATTCCAATGGAAAATGTACAAACAAACTGAGGGAGTTGCCATGGGATCAGCAATATCCCCGATTGTAGCAGATATATTCATGGATAATCGGGAAAACTTTCCGATTTAGACGTTCGGCCTCACCCCAAAAGTATGGTGGAGGTATGTAGATGACACATTCACCGTACTCAGAAGACAGAATATAAAGAGATTTTTAGAACACATCAACTCGAAGGTGGAGGCAGTTCAATTCACTTATGAATTGGAAAATCAGGAAGAGGAGCTTCCAATGTTAGATTGCAGCGTTAAAAGGAAAGAAGATGGAAAGTTAAACACTAGTGTTTACAGGAAACCCACACATTCAAACAGATATTTGCACTTCCGATCATCCCACTCACTCTATGTCAGTAAAAATAGGATTGATGAAGTGTTTAAGTAATGGAGCACAAAAGCTAACTAGTACGAAGGAAAATCTACGACAGAAAGTGAGGCATATAAGAGAAGCTTTGAAACTTGATAATTACCCCGATAGATTGATCAGGAATTATGTGGGAAAATGTAGCACAAAAATTAATAATGACGGTAGTGATAGTGACAAAAATAATAATAATAATGGCATGCATGTTAAATATGCACAGAATAACGACAACACCAACAATAAGGGATTTAATTCATCAGTAGTACTTCCATGCAAAGAAGGAACCTCGGAAACCTTACGGAGAATTCTTAACAATGAAGGAATAAAGGTGGCATTCAAACCACCAAACTCAATTTAAAAGAGTTTTTATCGGTTAAAGGTTCCTGTGGAGTCAGTTAAACAAAAACTTTAGTTTATCCAATTCGCTGCCCTTCTGATTGTCAGGTCGAATACATCGGTCAAAGTAGCAGAACAGGGTCAGTCAGACTAGCGGAGGATAAAAGCCTAGCAAAATCTAGATTAGTTGACCTTAATAGGATAAGAGATATGGCGAATAGTTCAGCTACATTTAACTACACACAGCCATTCCATCTTTGTTGTGAATAACTTACAGTCACTTAAATCAACTACCAGTACATATTGTATAAATTGTTGAACATTGTTCGGTAAACGTAATCATTGTTTTAGCTTTCATTCTTACGTCTTCTGATTATTTTTCTTTTCTGTAGGTGTCCAACATTTCTTGCTGTTTCTGATACTGTAAAGAATATGTCTGTTAAAAATGTTAGTTGTCCACTCTGTACAGCTATGCATTTAAACCTGAAACTTGATCCGGTAAGTTTAAAATATATGGATGTAATTTTTTTCTTTCACGTTCCCCAGTGGAACATAGGGTTTCAAGCTAGTGGCTTGAAGTTTCTGTAGCAGTGCTTATTTTACAGAATGGGGTTGCTAGCTTCATGCCCAACCTTTCTTCTTTACCAGCATTATTTCTGGCTTGGCGAGGTAAAGGAGTGGGTCGGCCGGGAATTGAACCCCGGACCATGTGCATGGTCGGCAAGCGTCCTAACCTCTCTGCCACCGACGCACAGTATGGATGTAATGAGAGTTGTTTAATATGCCACAATTTTTGTCGTATCGTATGCAGGTTTCATTAGTGATACGACAACACATGATTTTGTAATTTCAGCCTGTTCAACTGAATTCATCTAATTCACAGAATCTTGCTTAATAGTAATAGGATTTTAAAGACTTCAATGAAATACAGCTACTTAGGTCTACATAAGTGGATAGATCTTATGTGAACAGTCGAATATTTGGTTATAAATCGTGAACAGAAAATGTCAAAAAACGCTAACCTTTGTACACGAATAACTTCAAAGATTCTATGATAGTTTCTTTGCTGTTTTTAGAGTCATATGATGGCTTCAGTAAGCACAAAATTACTGAATGTGTAAATGCCGTCTCCTGTCTATTTTAAAGCGTCTAAACATAGAATAGGCTGGTGTAATTATTTATGACTGTCACTCAGGTATAGTGTTTGAATATTTCATTTTTCCTGATTCCACGTATACGTTTACCTATAACAAGCAAATTAATGGATAATTCAGTGTAAGATCACCAAAGTCGATAACGCCAAAGCAGGTGGTTCGTATCCTACCATCGCTTACATTTCTGACTTTACCTTACTCCATCTGTTGAGTACACAATCCTTAGATATGATAAGGCATATAACGTTCTTAGTGTTAATGTAGTTGCTCCCATGATAGAATGCTAGTCAACCACGCGCATGGTCCCGGTAGACGCACTTGTAAATCTCACCTAATTTACGAGTGGGCAGTAAGCCTAGTAAAGAGGGGAGATTGAGGGTGAGGTTAGCAATCCCACCCTGTAAAACAGTACCGCCACTACCGAACCGCGAAATGAGGAAAACAATGGAAAGATGAACAAGCATGCCTATCCAGGCGATGCCGTTATCAGTACATAGTACACAAACGGTCAGACTTTTGTTACGGCTGTTTCGTTTTACACTATAAATGTGGAAAATTTTCACTTGGAATCCATGTATTTTTTCCAGACTAAAATCCCAAATTCAACAGAAGACAGTTCTGAGAAGATTGGTGCTTCATTTTCTGGATGTGTATTCTGCACAGAATCATTGTGTTCACTTTTCACCATTGTAAGGAAGCAAGAACAACCAAATCATTCCACAGTAATTCAGAGACGTTCACATCATCGCTCTGGACCACGGCAACGTAATAGTGGTGGTAGGAGAGGAAGAGGTTTTAGATGACTTTTTTGACATTTATTCAATAAAACAATTGTGAGTGTACTTTGTAGACAGTTACATTTCAAATCATATGCCGTACAAAGTCAACAATTCTTTTTTCGCTTGTATTTGTTCGGTGCTTTCAATTTTGACAGTTTAAATAGCTGAAAAAATAAGCGATATATATATATATATAATTTTTATTCCCAGAAGAATTCCGAACCAGTTTGTCAAAAGGAAGGCTGAAATTACTTATTTCAATATCGCTGGCATTTTTACCAGTATAACTAATTCATCAAAAGATAAACGGTAGTTATTTACTAGTCATCGTAGTACGCATTTTTCCGTGAAATCGTCTGCATGCCTTGGTTACATCCTATTGTCCTTACTGAATGGTGGACAATCCAGATTATCTTAGGATCTTCTTAGAAGACTATTCATTCTGACCGATTGAACAGTCAGTATCTATCGTTAGCTTTCAGATTCATATTGTTCAATAAATTTAGTTTTCCTATTTGAAACTGTCCCACATTAAACTATTGAAGAGCGTGAGTGTAAGCCAGTCTGCTAATGTTCAGTTGTCATCATAAGAATTATCAAATAATTTAATTACTACTAAGATGTCAGCAAAGTGAAACTACACTCAAGATGAATCGAGTGGGGAACTTACTATTAAGCAAAAGATATTTCGTAATAGGCAATTTAACGACAGTGATTTTTCTCTATCAATACTGTCATCTCCAAAGGCTGTACATATATTTAGTAAAGACGTAAATCTTTTCATAATTGACTCAGTTACTCAGAAATTGGTTTCCGAATCTTAAGAAAAATTAAGTGATAGTCAACCACACAATGGAAGTTAAGTTTTGAAATTTGATAAGGGGAAAATTGTTACTAAATGAGAAGCGAGGTGTTTGAGTATTATACTTCACAAATGTGAAGGTGAGGAGAAAAACCCATTAAAATGCACAAAAAGGCATGTGAGAATTGCTTTTTAACAATAGAAACAAAAAAGTACGCAACACCCTAATATTTAAAATATTTGCGGCTTAGTCCGATACAAGACTGCTCTATTTGATAAGTAGCTTTATCCCAGACAAAATGTTTACACACATTGCTCTAAATCCTCAGCGTATTTTATTGCATGATGTCCACTTTTCCTCCAGGACCAGGATAATAATTGACAGAGTATATCGCAGGACGCAGTGCTATTCAGTCTGAAGCCAAAACTAATCCTTTGTTATTTTTCTCTTATCTTCGAGAGATGCATAACAGCAGGTTGAAAGCTAATCAAAAATGTATATGTGAGTACATTTTGCGACCGAAGGACATAACGAATGATTAAAATAATAAGGTATGGAGGAAATTTGATGCTTCATGTTGGATCGAAGTTCAGGTAGTCCAATAACATGGAGATGCAACTGACTACTTGATGTAGCAGTTGTTTCATCAAATAGATAATGGATACTTTATTACGCCAACACAATTTGCATTTACGACTATTTGACAACTTATTTCATACATACTTATTAATACTTAGAATTGCATAAATAATCTAAATCAAATATTTGTTGAGAAAACGTTGGTCTGGTTGTTCTTTTCTTGAGTTATGTGGTAAATTAGTCACAAACCAATAATTATTTGATGAGAACGGCTGAACCTCGATGCAAGCAATTTAGTGTAGGCCTCAGTTACATGTCCTCTGATTGGTAGATTCTAGTTTTTGCTGACATCAGGACCAGTCAGCCTTTAGTTAGTTTCTCAATAATCCATATGTGCAGTGTAAGGATTGGTTTTCACCTGTGAATTACTTTACCAGAAAAGGGACGTTGAGTTTTTTTGGTTTCATCCACAATCAAAAGTACAAGATTTCTGGAATTTTATCAACTATTTGGTTTTCGCATCCTTGATACTTTAAGTAATTTTTCAAAAGGCCTTGAACCTAGATTTCTTGTTTGTTAGCTTTTATCTACATTATGTAGTGGCCACATTAAATGAATCTATGCTCTCAGTGGAATTCAAACCATTTTTTCATTTCTCTATACTCTGGAAAATACAGTTTCAAGGTTGACTTCTGAAGTTTCAGTTGCCGTCGGCTCTACTTATACAGCGTAGGGTTGTTACCCTCATGCGTAACCTTCTCTCTTTACGGAGCTTACTACCGGTTCAGTGGGATTTAGGAATACATCGACCAGGAATCGAACCCAGAACATGTGCGTGTTTGGTAAGCATTCTAGCACTGAAACACCAAGGTAATAAGTGTACCGTGAAACTGCTGAGGTCGACTTCCTGTAGGAATGACTGATCTGGTTACTATTTTTTGACCACTTGTCTAGCTAAAACCTCCCCATAAACACATGATGAGGAAGGGGTCATGCATGTAACAAAACAAACAGTTAGTATAAACTGATCGTTTATTGTTCACCAACAATTTGACGATGTATATTATGTAATAAAACAGGATGAATTAAATAAATTATAATTTTATTGGTGCATAAAAATACTGTTTCATATAGATTTTGGTCAGTTATCACAAAATGTTAAATATTTTCTATATTACTGATGCAAAGTGATGGGTTTCGAGCATGTGCAGATTAAAATGAAAATTTTAAAATAATCAAAATAATGGGAAAAAACTTTTGTTGGAAAATAACGTAATGCAACGTAATGAATGGTTGTGCTGAGAATGACTGTCACTCCCTGTCCCTATGCATGCACACGCCCAAACTATCTGCTGCCCTCTATGACATTGGTGGGTGAAAATTACATTTCAAAGGAAGACGGTGTGTGAAAACCATAAGAAGTGGAGTTAAACGATGGATGATTTTGTCATAAAATGACGGTTTTTAAGAATAAGTAAAATGCAATAAAAATGTAATAGGTGAAATGTCAAAAAGGTATGTACTGAACTCTATCACAAAAAGTACACTTGAATACATATATATATATATATATATATATATATATATATATATATGGTGGTATGGTGGTGACCTCCTTGAAATTCTGAAAGTAAGAAATGAAGCGCAGAAATTAGTTCAGTCAAGTCTAAAGAAAAAAACCAGCTGGATGATTATATAATCGACATACAGTGAATTCTCTGCCTTAAACGTGTCAATACTATAGAATCTTAGTCACTGGTTCAGTTATGCGGAACCAGTTTTCCATGTACATGTATGAGTCACACTTATCTAAAGATGCTATCAACTGAAAGTCAAGTACCCAGCCATAGTTTGCTCAGTTGATAAAGTAAGCATAAAATCTACTCGAGCGTGGTACCACTTAACAGTTTCTTCAGCATAATATGCTCAATCTGTTTCTACATATTTATTGGGCGACAGGTTCTTCAGTGGGTCAATGCCAGAGTAACTTGTTACTCAATCTTTCTGGTCGGCCATCAAATCGTCAGCATAATCGGAGGTAAATGGTGATGAAAGTCTGCAGTAGCCTGCTGAAAAGGTTTCTCATGACACGCCAATCCTATGAAACACAAAAGCACCGACTTAACATTAGTGTTAAACACCTGAATCTTGTTTCTCATGCTGATTGCAACTGGTTTCGGATTAATGAATACCCGTCTTGCCTTTCCGATCCTGCCATTAACATCTTCACGAATGCTGCCTGTAGCTGAAACAATGCTACACGAATAAGTGAAAAAAGTAACTTCTTTTGTCTGTCTGTCTGTTTTCGACATAGAACTTTGCACAAATGTGCGGAAGTTCAAGTCGCCACATTCCGTGTAGCACGCGAAGCAAGAGAAGAAAGTACAAGAAAAGCATAATAGAAACAGTGAGCAGAGGTGTGAGACAAAGGAGTAATAAAGAAATACAAAACAGTTTCATTGAAGATCATAAGTCACAGGGAGTGGATGCATCTGCGCCACTGAGAACGATTTTGAGCCATGTCACCAATTGTTTCCAACCATAGATTTTTACCGTCCCGAGGACCCCAGCCTGGAAGTCTACACCTTCCTACGTGGCTTAGACCAACTGTTGTGGATTTCATTGACTGATGCCAAGTTTTTGTTTGACCGCCGCTAGCTTTTTTCCAGCCTGACCCTATATCCGCTAACATTGCTCGTCGAGGGAGGCGATGGCTTGGCATACGTAACACATGTCCTAACCATCTCAGTCTTTGTAGCTTCACGACTTCGTCGATTGATTTCCCCTGTTTACCTAGAACTCTACGCCTAACCTCCATGTTGCTCACCTTATTATGCCACTTTACACGGGAAATAGAACGCAGGCACCTATGATCAAAGACAGCTAGTCTTTTCATGTCTTCCACTCTCAGTGGCCAGGTCTCACAACCATAAAGGAGGACGGAGCGGACTGATGAGCAGTACACCCGCCCTTTGGTCGATAGTCGAACATCTCGTCTACGCCAGAGTCGGCGTAAACTAACAAATGCGAAACGAGCCCCTTGTATTCGTGCTGAGATTTCGTCAGAGATCAGCCCGTTGGGGCTGATGGTACTTCCCAAATAAGTGAAGCGGTCAACGTGCTCTACCACTTCACTTCCTATTTTTAAACTAGGCGTCGATGTAGTCCAGTCCTGTAACATCATCTTGCATTTGGCGGGAGCGAATCGCATGCCAAACATTCGTAGATTGCGGCTCAAGGTGTTTAGAAGACTCTGCATTTCGTCAGCGTCTTCGCCTAGAAGGACTATATCGTCTGCATATTCCAAGTCAACGAGATTATTCCCGGTAGCAAGTCAATCCCTGAGTCGCTGAAGTCACCTAGGGTTAAGTCCATTAACACATCTATGATGAAGTTGAATAGAAAAGGAGATAATGGGCATCCTTGACGGACACCACTGGTCGTCATCAGTTCAGATGACAGCTCGCCGTAAGCCCTCACCTGGCTGTATGAGTACGAGTAGAGTGCCTTAATCAGTGCAATATATTTTCTTGGAATTCCCTTTACAGCCAAGCATCTCCAGAGAACTTCCCGATCGACAGAGTCGAATGCTGCCTTTAGGTCAAGAAATATAATGACTGTTGGACGCCGGTAGGAATGCCTATGTTCTAGAATCTGTCGGAGGGTGAAGATATGATCAATACACCCTCTTCCTGGTCTAAAGCCTGCCTGGCTCTCTCGTGTTTGTGCTTCCCGAGCACCACTCAGTCTACGCATGATTATTGAGCCTAAGACTTTAGATACTATATTAGTCAAGCTAATCCCTCTGTGATTATCACAGGAAGACTTGTCTCCCTTCTTGTATATGGGGATAATCAGTGACTTACACCAACCCGATGGGACTTCTTCTGATTCCCAGACGCTGCCTAGTACCTCAGTTAATCCGGACAGTAAGCTGTCTCCACCGTACTTAAATACCTCTGGAGTCATTCCATCAGGTCCCGCTGCTTTGCCTAGTTTCAGATTGGTGACAGCTTTAGTAACCTCAGTTAGTGACGGAGGACCTGTGTCTATATCCCATTCAGGGAGGTGTTGGATGCTCGGAAGGTTGAGCGTGGCTGTGGGCAAATTAAACTGCTCCTCATAATGCTCTTTCCAACGATCCAGTCGTCTATCCTGGGAGCTAATTATAGTGCCATTTTTTTCCGAGATTGTCTCACTGATGATTTGTCTTCTCCCACCCGTTTCCCTGATGAGTCCAAAGAGTTGCCTGGTGTTGCCTATCCTCGAAGCTTTCTCCATCTCTTTGGCTTTTGTCGCCCACCACTGTTCACGGTCCTTGCGGAGACTTTTCGTAAGTTTCCTCTTGTGCAGCTTTCGCTCCTCATTGAATTCGGAGCTCGCCGGAATAAGTCTTCTAGCATCTATCAGTTCGGATGAGGCGGTGGAGATCCAGTGGTTTTTACTCACCTTTGGGTTTACCTTATTCACAGCTTTTACAGCTGTATCTATGGCTGCCTGGATATTTTTCCAAGCTTCTTCAGGGTGAGCACAGCTGTCGAACACAGATATGTGTTTAGCTAGTTCTTCCTCAAATACGGATTTAGTTTCCTGATCGAGCTGGGGACGTGATGGTTTTACCGCCAGCTGTTTCCTACGTCCGTTCAGTCGTAAGCACACCCGAGCGCGGACCAGTGCATGGTCGGTATCTACGCACGTGTTCCAGAAGGAGCGACAATCTCCTACCGACCCACGCCAACGATAGCTTATTGCTATGTGGTCTATTTGTGTCCAGCGTTGGTTTGATGAAGGGGGTCTCCAAGTCAAACAGTGTCTCTCCTTGTGTTTGAAGTTAGTGCTTACAAGAAACAAATGATTATCAGAGCAGAACTGTAGGAGACGGTCACCGTTGTCGGTTCGCTGGCACGGAACTCCATAGGTGCCACCGACATCCTTCTCAGATTGACACAATTTCCCTACTTGAGCGTTAAAGTCACCAGCTAGAACGACTATGTCTGAGCGTTTAGCCTTTCCACCAAACTAGACAGCTTTTGGTAGAACTCATCCTTCGTTTCATCTGAACTGCAGTCAGTGGGGGCGTAGGCGGAGATTACGAAAAGGCATCGGCGAGTAGTGCAGTCCTTCCTCCTTCTTACTGATCCGTTCAGGCGGACAGCACACATTCGGCTATCTACCGGGATCCAGTCAAGCAATGTCTTTTCTGCCCTAGTACTCAAAGCTATCCCTACGCCAGCTAATCCTCGTGAACTAGCTGTGGCATCTCCTGACACCCTCAAGGTGAATTTTGCAGATTCAACCTGTTGGCCAGGTGGGGTTAGGTGAATAACCACACTTGGGTCTTGTATGCGTGTTTCTGAAACACAGCATACATCAATGGCTCGTGATGCCAGGGTCTTGGCTAGTGATGCTTGTTGTCCTATTTGGCAAAGTGTCCTAACATTAAGAGCTCCTATATGAAATTGGTGGCGCGGCTTTAAGAGGCTGTCGGTGGTGGTTTTTTGGCTTCCATCGTTTTTAGTGGACGCAGAGTGGAGAGGAAGTGGAGAGCTATCAAGTCGAGGAGTTGCATCAGTGGAAGGAAGGCAAGATGATAGAGATGAAGATGAAGACAAAGATGAGTGAGTAATAGAGAGGTTTCGCGTGCGTTTCGGATTGTGAGGGCGATTGTTACTTCCCGGCTGCCCACACCGTGGAAGTTGGTTGCGTGACCGCAGAGCCCAGAGGACAACTGCTTGAGGCCTTCTTTTAGATTTCGCTGATTGATGTCCCATTCTTGTTGGTTAAGTATCCTATCTTCCCTGCTTGTAGACCTTCGAGTTCGTGTGCGGGATGAGATTAGCTCAAAGATTACAAACAAGGAGTGTATTTATACACAGTAATCAAATTAGATTATGGTTAGGACTTGAATAGATTCATCTGAAAACCGGTATTCTTATAGTTAAAACTAACTGGAACTATTTATGCATACATACGATGCTGTGTGTTCATCTATAAGAATCGTTGTCAATGGCGCAGATGTATTCAGTCTCTGTAATCTTTCATATTTCTTTCTACCATTACCCATTCTCTTTCGCTCTTATACCTGTCAAACTCTACTGATTCTCTTCACTCATCTTCTTGTCTACCTTTGTGTGCTATTGGGAATGTGGCAACTCGAACTGCTGCACTTCGGTGCAGTTCTATGTTTAATCCAGACAGACTATAAGAATCTATCAATTTGAAAATAATTTTTTTTCCCTTTAGCTTTCCAATTACTCAATTGTCTTTATTTAACAAGTGATGCATTTGAAGTAATCTTAATTATTTAGCAGTATAAGATTTTACAGTCACGAGTATATTGGGGGATGTGTAGAAAAAAAATTGCGTTATATTTTCACCTGAACAATGAACTTACAGTCTGTTGATTTTAAATCATTTGTCACAGATACCCACTGTTCATTTTCTGCGATAATCTGGTTTATTTCATCACTTCGAGCAAGACAGAAGTCGTCAACCTGAAGTGAATAAAGGCGAAAGTATTCTCAGGAACCTAAATCATCGAATATGTTCTGAATTGTTATCATTAAATCGTCTATTGTTATATTTTTGGGGATTATTAATTCAGACGAAATAAAATTTTAGAAACCTGAACGTATGTAGAATAAGATAGAAGTGATAGAGCAACAAATCACACAGTTTCTGAAATGAGTGAAGAATGATTTATTACTGACAGTCGACTTATAAGAAAGGATAAGACCATCTGGATCGGTCATTCCTCGACTCTACGGTCTGCTGAAAATCTATAAATCTGAACTACCACTTCGTCGCATTTACGACATAGCGGGTTGACCGTATCATTAACTCGCAAAGTGGACAAAAATCTCTTGGAACCATTAGGAAGGTTATTCATAACATGATACTTTTGAGCTTGTTTATTGCGTTAATGATGTTATTCTTACTGGGGAAACTATGTTATCACCTGATGTATGCATCCTGTTTACTGATGTTCCATAAAATGAAACAGTATCCTTCATTTGTAATTACATCGACTTGCATAATGTGAACTTAGGAATGCCCTCATCATCCCAATCGAATGGACAGGCTGAACGTTTCGTCGACACCTTTAAGCGTGCGTATGCAAAAGCGAAGGGGGAGGGAACAACAGAAGAAATTTTGGATAGATTCTTACTGCATTATCGTACGACGCCAAATCCTTCCGCCCCAAATCAGTTATCCCCAGCGGAAATTATGTTTGGCCGGAAGATCAGAACTACCCTCGACTCAATTAAGCCTAGGCAAGTAAAGCAGGGCTGCAGAAATACAAAAATGGAAAACCAATTCAATCGCCATCACGGAGCTAAACGTCGAGTTTTCAAATTGTATCAGCAAGTTTATGTACGAGATTTTCGCTATTCACCTCCGAGATGGATTCGAGAACAAATAGTGGGGCAGAAAGGAAGGGTTTTATACAAAGTGAATGTAGAAGGACAGTTATGTGTCAGACACACGAATCATATACAAGATGCGTCAGATAGACCCGACAATGGGAGACGAGACCTCACGTTAGAAGTATTAGTAGATAGATTTAATCTTCCGCAGCCGGAAGCCCGGGACACAGATCACACTCTATCCAGTGCCACGCGAAGGTCAACTCGACAAAGAAGAGCTCCGAAACCTTTTCAAATAGATCCAAAAAGCAAGTCCTACACCTTTTACGGGGAAAGGTGATAGGATCCCACGCACTTTGTTATTGATCAATTATTTCAACGGCTGTTAATCTCGCATAAATGGTATATCATCATTTCCCACGCACTTTGCTATTGATTATTACGATCAATTATTTCAAATGCTGTTAGCTGTCTATATTGTTGTAAAAATGTATAAATACCATGTGTTGTTTTCCTAAATAAGTTCTTTGTCGTAGTTGTTGTACTACAATATACAGTCACAGGCCAGCCTTTGTCTTTTGATATTTGCGTGGTTCACTGAATCGGAAGGTACCACAAGCAGATAGGCATATTAGTCAGGCGCAGACAGAACAAGGCGACAACGTCTTCATCTAATTTCCTACAGTTATAACCGTAGCAAATATTCCGCTAAATTCAAAATGTTCTGATGTAATGTCATCACCAAATGATTTTGTTTCAAATCATGGATCACATAAATCTCTGTTGCAACGCTCACGTCAAAATCATACTCCAGTCTTGCAGGAAGAACTTGGTTGCTGCAGGCTTACCCAAGTCTCTTCGCCTCTGAAGCCGAACGTGTTACTCTGGGTTTCCGCCCTAAACGTCCAGTTCTGCATTAACCCCAATCCTGTGGACAAGCTGAACACTTCGTTGATTCCCCTAAGCGTGTTTCATGAAAGCGAAGTGGGAGGGGCCAATGGGAGATATCTTGAATAGATTTTTTCTGCCTTATCATTTGGCACCAAATACTTATGTCTCGAATCAGTTATCAACAGCGGGAATTATTTTTGGCCGATAAATCAAGAGTTTTCCAAACACGTCCGAATGGAAAGTCCTATAATTACTTGCGGGCGGAGGTGATAGGGAGTGGTTAAAACAGTAATCATCTTGTGACTCATCATGTGTTTCACCTTGTGATTTGATGACTGTAAAATTTCATCTCTTTTATCGTGATCCTCGATCAACGAGTCTGAATATCTATTTACCCTGGACCTAGCCGAATTGCCTACTAATCAGAGCAACGTATTTTCCACTGTCCTAGGCCAACTTCCTTCTTACTAAGAAGATAGACGGACATCTACAAGGAAGTCAATTTAGAAAGACTAGGACGCGTCAGTACACTCATTTTCATAGCTTCATACCGCTTTACCGAAAGGGATACGAATGCACTTGCTTTGTATAGCGCGGAGGCTTTGGCAATACATAACATAAAGACAGAAAACAAATTTTACGATCTCTTTCGTTACTATGCTCTTAGTTTCACTATGTAGTTCACAAAAACTTTGTTATACTTCTTTGTTCCACGTTCCATTTTGCTTTGTTTTATTTTATTTCACTCTGTTATCATATTCTAACATTTGACCTAGTCTACTATTTTGACAACATTTCACTCATCTCATGTTTCCATCATATTATTCTATCTACATTTCTGAGTGTACTCTATTTATTCGATTCATATATCTAATCCATTTTTGACTTATAGTTGTATACACCAATATTATCTGACTTTAGTATTTCCAGTCACTGTCAAACCTAAACATATATATATATATATATATATATATATATATATATATGCAGTGTATAAATATATAGAAAGACTTTTCAGTGCACAGTTAACATAGGACAATTGTACAGCTATGAAAATGAAATCGTCGTAAAGGGAATTTTCTCCTCTGGATTTTTTGTCTTACAATACTACTACTAATAATAATGAAAAACAGTACGTTCAATCATACTGTTTTTCACTATTCTTGTTATCACAGATAGAGTCACTATTATTATTATTATTATTATTATTATTATTATTATTATCAATATGGATAAATGCAAAATATAAACGCACAGCCTTTGTTTTATGCCTCAACGGGGATTATTAGTTTAATTTCAATATTAACCCCGTAAGATGCTGTTTTTAGCTGAGATTTTCGTTAATCAGTGGGGCTTCGAATCGTCAGTAGTTGTGGTGGCTGGAATGTACGTGTCACCCCATTTGGCTTGACTATGATGTGGAGAGGTGTATATTGAGTCACATGGATTCTCGGGATGCTAAAAGCTAAGGGGGATCAGAAGCAATTCTAAGATATTATTTTTTGTAAAGATTACTCTATTACTATTACTTCTGCGGTCAAATATAAGGAATAAAGCAATAACCAATGGAAACATAAAAAAACAACTTACTAACTGTAGTTCTTCACTACATAATCTTTCAAATTCAGAATGCCAATGTAAACTTTTCTCTACATCTTTACGTATTGTTTTAAGTATTTTACACACTTCGTGTAAATTTGCTATCACTTTGTGCTGTTGATATTTAAGAATATGATTAATATACGGTTCATATTTTATGCGTAGTTGGCATAATAGATTTCTCTGTTCGTCTAAATTTTCATTGACACAGATACGTGCTGCATCAACTTTATCACGAAATGTTCTTGCAGTTACTTCATTATGATCAATTTCACCATTTGTACGATACCATCTGGTTAGTGTTTCAACTAACAGATAAAAATAGTAGGATAAACGATAAGTTTTAAGTCAGTTAGAAGAAATAACTATAGAATTACAATGGCAACTGGAAACATTCACATATGCTGTATTTTTGAGTAGTTTTGAACAATGCGTTTATTTACAGCATCAGATTTCAGCGAGTTTTCATTTTGCTGTAATATCACTGCTTACGCAGAACTTTTGATCAAAATAGTAATTCAGAGTATTATTATTATTGTCTCCCATAGTTCCTAGGGGAACATAAGGCTTCAGCCGCACGTCCCCATTGCTTTCGGTTCTCCCCAACGTTTTCACCTGGCTTCACGTCTCCCCACATGCTTTCATCTCCTCTTCTCATAACCTCCTCCATGTCAACTTCGCACTGACTGTCAACTAACTCGCCGCTTCCCATTAGGGTTTCACTCGAGTGATGGCCTGGCGTGTGAAGTCACTTGATGATTTTCTCAGAGTATGGCCAATCCACCTCCATTTCTTCTTGCATATTTGTTGCACAATTGGTCCCTGGCTGGTTCACTTCCAGAGATCCCTGTCGCTGAACTTTCCTGACCATCCGATCGTGACTACTGAGCGAAGAAAGGTGAAAGTCTTTCCTCCAATCAGCAGGTACCTTGCCCTCTTTCTACATCTTCTTCAGTAGTGGCGTCATCAAGTCCGTTGTTGTCTCTGGGTCCATTTTCAATGCTTCTGTGGGGATTCTGCCTGGTCCTGCTGCTTTTCCAGATTTTAGTATTTTTATAGCCTTCAGGACTTCTTCTTTCGTCGGAGGGTTGGTATCCACTGGTAGTTGTGCTTCCGCTGTTGATGTTATTGGGCGCGTTGTAGGTGGAGGTCGATTAAGAAGTCTTTTGAAGTGTTCAGCCCAGTCTTCACTTTGCTCCACCTCTTTGGTGACTTTGCATTGTCGCCTTCACTGGCTTAATTTGTGTTGATCTCTTCCCAGATAGGAACCTAGTTGTTTGTCAGAGTGTTGTGAGGTCTCCTCTGCCTACAGCTTGTTCTGCTTCACAATTTTGTCTTCCCTGGCATTTTTTTTACTATTTTGTTCAGTGTATTGTAGCTTGAATTCAACTCCTGTTTTTGTTGCTCGTCAGTGCACTGGATAATCTTTTGTTTCCCCATCTTTCTCTCTTCTATTAGTCTCCATGTGTCTGTAGTGAGCCACTGTTTGTCCTGTCTCTTTCTGTCTAGAACTTCGATGCAATTTTGACTCCACACGGCTTTCAAGCTGTTCCAGCGCTTTTAAACACTGGTCTCTTCGCTAGTGTTGATTTGTGGCTGCACTCTTTTCCTTATGCTTGCAGTGAAGATCTCATTTGTGGTCTGATCCTTCAGGTTTTGAGTAGTGAACTTGGCTTGTGATCTATCTGCAGCTCCTGTTTCCTTGAAAGCTTTTAATTTGATTTGGAGTGTTCCTTGCACGAGATAGTGGTCTGAGCCGACGTCTGCTCCCCTTCTTACTTTTGTGTCCAGTAAGCTGCATCTGAACTGATGACGACCAGTGGTGTCCGTCAAGGATGCCCATTATCTCCTTTTCTATTCAACTTTATCATAGATGTGTTAATGGACTTCACCCTAGGTGACTTCAGCGACTCAGGGATTGACTTGCTACCGGGGAATAATCTCGTTGACTTGGAATATGCAGACGATATAGTCCTTCTAGGCGAAGACGCTGACGAAATGCAGAGTCTTCTAAACACCTTGAGCCGCAATCTACGAATGTTTGGCATGCGATTCGCTCCCGCCAAATGCAAGATGATGTTACAGGACTGGACTACATCGACGCCTAGTTTAAAAATAGGAAGTGAAGTGGTAGAGCACGTTGACCGCTTCACTTATTTGGGAAGTACCATCAGCCCCAACGGGCTGATCTCTGACGAAATCTCAGCACGGATACAGGGGGCTCGTTTCGCATTTGCCAGTTTACGCCGACTCAGGCGTAGACGAGATGTTCGACTATCGACCAAAGGGCGGGTGTACTGCTCATCAGTCCGCTCCGTCCTCCTTTATGGTTGTGAGACCTGGCCACTGAGAGTGGAAGACATGAAAAGACTAGCTGTCTTTGATCATAGGTGCCTGCGCTCTATTTCCCGTGTAAAATGGCATAATAAGGTGAGCAACACTGAGGTTAGGCGTAGAGTTCTAGGTAAACAGGGGAAATCAATCGACGAAGTCGTGAAGCTACAAAGACTGAGATGGTTAGGACATGTGTTACGTATGCCAAGCCATCGTCTCCCTCGACGAGCAATGTTAGCGGATTTAGGGTCAGGCTGGAAAAAAGCTAGCGGCGGTCAAACAAAAACTTGGCACCAGTCAATGAAATCCACAACAGTTGGTCTAAACCACGTAGGAAGGTGTAGACTTCCAGGCTGGGGTCCTCGGGACGGTAAAAGTCTATGGTTGGAAACAATTGGTGACATGGCTCAAAATCGTTCTCAGTGGCGCAGATGCATCCACTCCTTGTGCCTTATGATCTCCAATGAAACTGTTTTGTTTTTCTTTATTACTCCTTTGTCTCACACCTCTGCTCACTGTCGCTATTATGCTTTTCTTGTACTTTCTTCTCTTGCTTCGCGTGCTACACGGAGTGTGGCGACTTGAACTTCCGCACATTTGTGCAAAGTTCTATGTCGAAAACAGACAGAAGCTGCATCTCCACTTCCTTGAGCAGCATTTGGATGAAGTCAATTTGGTTTTTGCTTCGCCCGTGTGGTGACACCCACGTAATCTTGTGGATATCCTTGTGCATGTATACGGCGTTGCCAATCACTCGTTCATTGAAAGCGCAGAACTCAGCGAAGAGTTCTCCGTTTTGATACTCAAATCAAAAAGTTCTCCGTCTTCATTCGTCTCTCCAAGTGCTTCTCTACCCATAATGAGTTCTGTTCCTGTGTTGTCCAATTCCAGTTCGGTGTTCATGTCGTCCATTAGGATTTTAATGTTACCGACTGGACTATTGTCCATTGTTGCCTGTTGCACTCTTCTTTCTTTTCTAGGTCTGCGTTGTTTGTAGGTGCATATCATTGTATAATTTTCACTCTCCTTCCTTTTGAGTTGAATCTGGCGGTCATTATCCTGGGCTAGATCGCTTTCCATTGTATCGGAGCCTTCGTTACCGTTGATGACATCGTGATAGCCACACCCTCGGTGTGTTTGTGGTTGTATTCTAGGTGACCAGAGTAGGTCACTAACTGTCCAGTTGAAAATGTGGTGAGTCCACTCCCACTCCATCTGCTTTCGCAAATTCCCAGTACTTGGATTCCGTATCTTTTCATCTTGTTCGCAATCTGGGCAGCTTTGTCAGTCTCGTACATGGTGCGGACGTTCCATATCCCCACACAGACTTTTTCTTTTGTCGCAAGGAGTCTTTTCGTGCTGAAGTTTCTGTAGCAGCTTTGTTTACAGGGTGGGGTTGCTAGCCTCACGCATGAGAAGAGAGTTGTTACATGAATGCATAGTTCACAGAGTAGCGAACTTATGTTTTGCTCCCATTAGAATCAGGAAAACAAGGAATAAAGCAATCAGAAAAATACCAGCAAAAGTAACAAAAATTCACTACAGGAAGGGCAGCGATAACAGCGAAAAACCCGTAGCATTAGTATCACTGACAAATACAGTTAACCAAAATGGGCGAAGTTAAACTTTCGACACCACTAACTACCAATCAGCGAATTATCCAATGAGATTCACGAACGATGTCGAATTATCCAATGAGGTTCACGAACGCAGTTCAATGTTGTATAGCGCTTGATTCATTTCTAATGCGTGACCTTACAACGCTACAGTTGCAATTCGAGGAGGTTAGTGTTTTCCACTATTTCCTGGATTTGAGTTGCTCCGGAAAGAGCGAATTTGTTTGTGTGGTTGTATCATTACTTTAAAAAGCTATACCAAATCAACTGACGGGTTTGTTCATCTGGAGAGGGTAAGCTGATAATTTTAATATTTCGTAGGAACTTACTTTCACTAGGTCGCATCTCTCCCTAACCCAGATTTTGTATATCTGCAACTAATGGGTGTTGAAACAGGCTGTGAGAGCAGCAGCTGCCGAGATGGAGAATAGTCATGTCTCAACAGTTCAGTGGTACCAGCATTGCAGAGACATCGCATCATGGAAAATTGGGAAAATCACTTGTTTGCTAGGTGGGGAAGACGTTATCGTGCGTGTCGATAAGACAGTGTTGGTAAAAAAGAAATACAACCGTGGTCGCTAGCGAACGAACAATATTTGGGTAATAGGTTTGTATGACACCTCCCTCCGAAGGGGATTCGTCGAAAGGATAGCAGATGGAAAAGCATTGACAGTCCCATGCTAAACTGGGAGATGTTTCTCTCACATGTTCGAAAAAGATATCCCATGTAACTTTTTCATTCTCTATTTTGTGCTTTTTTTCTATAAATATACATTTCCATTCATCATATATGCCTCTTTAATGTAATTGGTTCGTTCAAGGTCGTTTGCTGATTGGTTGTTAGTGGTGTCGAAAGTTTAACTTTGCCCCAAAATGATATCACAACCGTAAACTTACTGACTTAGGTCAACTTGGGTATTTAAATCCAATAATATATACAATCATAGATATTAGTTAGTGTTAAACAGTCACAAAGTGCCAAACCGTTAGTTATAGGTATTATAGGTAAACAAGATTATATCCATAGATGCAGTGTGTGAAGGTCAAATAATTACAATAAGTTCCACAACTTCTTGGCAAGAAATGCCGGAGAAATAAGTCTTGTGTAACAGAGCAAGTGTAGCGTACTAACCGAAAAGCGCGTCAAGGTCGTTTTAATTCACTATTATTCGACATTAATCGTGCTTCGACAGCTGATGATTTTATCCCCTCAAAACAAAGCTAGCAGTATAATAAAAAGCTACTAAAATGCACACGCAAATACAAAGGGTTTCGTAATGACGTTATTTAATGTCCAAAACAAAGTGAAATTAATTTGACGCACTATGCTCTATGGAGAACAGGGTCGTTCGATGATGTAAGCACGCTGCAGACACATGAGTAGTTACACTTTTCGAAACTAATAACAGAAATTGACGAATAATAAGAGTAACACAATAGGAGGGAGGGTTAATCTTTTCCTGATTAGCAATCCAGAAAAAAGACCGGGTTTAGACTATTGGACATTCTCTTCCATTTTACTTGAGTTGACCGACCTCTCTTTCAGCTGTGATGAAAACGAATTTGCATAAGAAAATTGAGTGTCAGTGATTCCGCGTTAGAACGCTCCCCAACCACGCTTCACGTAGTCCGGGATTCCACCCTTGGATGACGCACTTCTCCTAGACCTCCCTAAGTTGGTAGTAGGACCGGTAAAGACGGAGGGTTTGGCGTGAGATTAGCAACCCCATCCTGTAAAAATAAGACCACTGCTACCGAAACTGCAAAGCTCTAACTGGAAGCCCTGTGTTACACTCAGAAGGTGAAGGGATAAAATTTTAAAAAATAACCAGAAAAGGACTTCAATCGGTTAATATACACATTTTCACAGCTTTGTTCCTCTCGAGTATAAAAGAAATTCGGTAAAGACCTGTAGGTATAGAGTCAAAGCTGTTTGTTCAGAAGATGTGATTGAAAATGAACTGAAGGTTGCATACGACAGCTACCTAGAAAAGTTCATCAAAAATGCCTGGAATTCATTATTTTCCAATCTCCTTTATAGCGCTCACCTTCAATAAAGTTCCTTTTGGTTTTTCCAGAGCATTTTAATGCCTTTACATCACTAGTGATATTCCATACTTTTCATTTGTAAAAATTATATTAGATCATTCTTGTATTATCTGATTAATTATCTAAACTTGACAAACCTCATGTGCGAACACACAAAAATAATGATATATAAATGCGATTGTACAACTATATGAATGAATTCGCCGAAAAGACTATTTTCGCTAAACATCTTCTCTTTTTTATATGACTCAATGGGGATTTTTAAGCTACTAAAATTATATTTGTATAAATTCCAGCGATGTAATTTTCATGTACGACAACTTTTCACTCATCAGTGCACAATATTTGTAGAAATATTCACTCAAATCTTAATCAGACTTTATATAAATGTTATTATCATTGTTAACTATTTTCAATAGTATTATGATTTAATAAAAAGCTAATAAAAACAATACATATGGTATTAATAACACTTACTAAAATTTGGTGGTAAACAAACCAACTCCCACATTTTTATGACATCATTGCGCTGACATTTATTCACTTCAAGTTGTTCCCAAATACGTATTAAATCTTTACGAATATTTTCTATTTCCGCGATAATGCTTATCTCTTCAACCTCCAAATTTGACTGAATATAGGCTATAATTTCATTTTCAGGCAAGTTCAATGTTTGAAAGCTTGCTTCGTGTTGTTTGAATAAAGATATCACATCCAAGTCTTTTTCAGACACCTTTTATTATTATTATCATAAGACACATTATTAAAACGATATAGTGAACAAAAAGGGATACAATTTATTAAACGTATAAATAACTGAAAGCAAGTTACGGGAAAAAACGACCTAACAAATGTTAAACGATGCATCCAACATAAATGAAAACTAACAAAAACTTCTGCCTTCCAAAGAAAAGCCACAAATCTCTACAAACTGTCTCATAAACAAAATTTCTGGTCTCATATGTTGGCGTCCAATGGTATAACGCTTGGCAACCACGTGGAAAATTCTAGTTTGATTCCCACCCTATGATGAACATCTAAAGCTCGTCTAATTTATCAGTCGGTGGAAGATGGAGCGTGGAACTGCCATCCTCACACTGTGTATACAAAACCATCGCTAGTGAAGCTCCAGAGCTTAAAGCCCTATGTTCCACTCGGAACGCAAGAAATAAATGTAGGAAACAATAAAGATGTGCCTAAAAACACGCTAAGATTTAATGCATATGTCCAGCTAACGCCTAAATACCTAATTATAATCAATAACAGGAACTTTATGTTCTACAGGCGTTTCTAAATTTTGTGTTTCCAGCTTGAGAATCCACTGACATTTAAAAATGCTAAGGTTAAGTAACAATGAGATAATATATTATTGGGATGGCCGTGCACAGACCAGCACCCACTAATAAAACAGGTGGTGATCGAAGGTGAAATAAATGTCTGGGTCACGACAAGATTCGACTCAGAGGCCTCCAGATTACTAAATTGAGACTAGTGGAAGCTGCTTTTACTTTCGTAAATAAATTATCTAAGGTCTGGTAGTACTTCTTTTTTTAAACAGTACTAATAATATTCCTAGTGATATGTCACACTAAATACCAAAAGGATGGATGGATTTTTATTTTCCCTCTTAGTACACACTGGAAAGATGTGGGGGGGGGGGTTAATTTGTAGTGAGCGTTTATATAAAATAACAAGTTTTGATTTTAAACTCATTAAGTTGAACATCACACAAACTCCGCATACATTATCCACCCGTCTGTTGAGAAAAAACCACCTATTGTAACTATCAAACCTCGTGGCTGATCGAAATGGATGAGGATTCAGAGTAGTCAAACCAAAAGTATAGAAAGTGCAATACTTTCATGATCAATTGACCTACACCTTGTTGTGAATTGTAGTATTCTCTGGGGAACTTATCAATGCCGTCCTAAATGGGGATAATACTAATACAGTGATACTACATGCCTAGAACACTAGGCAGGTAACGCATGTCTGATTATCTAAATAGACATTAGTATCCTCAAAGTTGTAAAGGCGTATGCTTACAAATACTAACAAACACGAGGCCTACATTTAGGTCTACGCTGATTCCCCGTATAAACAACGAAACACCATTTATCTTTGTCTACCTTTGAAACATTTAATTTTGTAAATAGATAAAGCTATAATAGAAGACAGAAGTTAGAACACATGGAGTGGCCATTGGATCGGGTCCTAGTGGCTTAATGGTATACGAGCTCGCCTTGTAACCAGAAGGTCCTGGGTTCGAACCCCGGTGGGTGCGTGCTGCCGAAGAGTTTCAAGATAGGACGAAACAGCTGTCCAGTACTCCCAGGTTTTCCAATGGTTCTCTAACTAATGTCAGCTCATGATGAAATCCTGAAACCAATCAAATCCCTACAAACCAACACTTGAAAATTTACAATAAGTTAACAACATAGACAGGCAAAAGAAAGTTATGTATACTTAATTGTTATGACTTTATGGCGTTTCCTTTAAAATTAATATTAATCAATTCATTAACATTAATTTGAATCATTTTGTTTACCTTGAGAATATGATATGTAGGTAAAACATATACACTCATTATACACATACCAATTGTACAGATAGACGTATCTTATCAATTTTTTCACGAAAACTAGCATTCAACTTTTCTGATGGTTCACGAAACAAAACATTAGTGTAGCCAGTTCTAAAAGCAACATCATTGTTTTCTTCTTTACGTAACATCTCTTCTATCTAAAGTAGGATGGAGAAAATTTTTCAAGATATTAGTCTGAACGAGTAGTGTACACAGAACAGAAGATTTGAATTTACACATGCTGCAACTTTAAAAATAAATAATGTGGAACCAGACTAATTCACCAGCATAAAAGTAGGCTATACCAATTGCATTTTAGTACTATGGAGTGTTGCAAATATTTGAAAACTCCATTCAACAGCTATACATGATGATGGCACACGACAAGGAATTCACAACGGAGAGCTCAACAGAGTTTGAAATGAAGACAGGAGTAAGTTCGGGCAATCTGCCATCGCCGATGATCCTTTTGACCGCGATTGAGTGGGTCATGTGGCACACGCGAGGTGCGAGAAACAAGACATACTTCCAGCCGACGAAAAAACCCTAAAGGATTCCGATTTTACAAATTAATCATGTCTCCTATCACACAGACTTTAAGATTTACAGGTAAAAACCAACAAGCTCAGAGAAAAAGCAGTGAAGACACGACTACAGATGAACGTGGATAAAATATAAGTGAAGATACTGAACTAACAACAATATTCACCGTTAACATTAGGAAGCCGACTTTTTCACCTTACAACCGTTTTTTAAATTCCTTTACCTTCTGAGTGGGACACAAGGCTTCCATTCAGTGCTTTACAATCTCGGTGGAAATGGTCTTATTTTTACGGAGTAGGGTTGATAACTTCACGTCCAACCTTCTCTCTTTACCCGCTTAGGGAGATCTAGGAGTGCATCCGCCGAGGATCGAACCCCGGACTACAAGAAGCGTTGTTGGCGAGCGTTCTGTATTGATACACACCTTGAATTCTTATACAGCATTATTTCAACTAAGAGCAGCGCGAATGGATATCTCAAAGGCACTCAGGTTTGGATAGGCAATATAAGACAGGCGTTCATTACTCAGAAATTAGTGAAGGTATCTACAGTACTCAGTCAGCAGAGAGGAAAAAACTCGGATAGTTTAACAATACTGTCAAGTTAGTCAGTGCTTCTGTATGCTTCAGGGATATAGGGCGCGAGTCATCAGAAGCATTTACAATAGACTGCTACATGCTTTCATCAACACTTTCATCGCTACTGAAGATTCGATAGTCTCTCGGAAAGGATAGGCAACAAGTGCCGCAGCAAATCAACCAATTCTCCAACACATATACACAATAAAATGGAAATGTACTGGATATAAGTTCAGGAGACTATTCAGCGATATCACACCAGGACTGAGAGTGGGACCCAAATGGAAACCAAAGGTCAGGAGTCCAAAGTTCACCTGCATATCATGTGAGGGAAATGAAAGCCCGAAGAAAGGCGACTGCAGTGGGGATGCACCGGCGAAGATCTTCGTAAACTCGAAAAAAAGAACGTATGACAACAATAGTACCAAAATTATGGTCTAATCTACTCCAGTAACGACAAGATAACGGCGTTCATAATTCCACTGTGGGTAAAATTTATTCTGATAGTCACATAGTGTTATACAGTAATACTTACTGATAACTCTTCGAGCTCAATCTATTGCTCATAATCATATCAAGGTACCCACACAACTTTCTAACTTCATTTATATAATTCCATTATTTTTCATCGCTTGATTTGACTGGTAATAGTATTCTCCATATTTCCGGTATGAGTGATGAGTCATTCCTGTTGCATGTGCTGGGTGTAGACTGGATGAACAAAGATTCAGTAATCAATCTCTCTCTCCAACTACCTATATTACTTTTTAGAATTTTAACCCTAACCCACCCTATTGTGTGGTTGTGTGTTAACGCGTGCAGTGCGATTGCTGAGCTTTTTTCTAAATTACTCATCTTCGTGGGATCAATCATTCTGCACTTGGCTAAATTCTCAAGTCCTGATAATCTCACTACTCCTGATCTACTAGTTTGGCATATCTAGTTGACCTCACAATCATTGCAAGGTATTTTGTAGATTATGTTATTTTGTCTAATTGGATCGACGGGGTCGTTTAACCTACAGAGCTTGTCCCTGAGTGATTTTGTGGGTTTAAATGCCACCCTAATCCCTGAGCAATTACTCAGCAACGACGAACACCTCCCAAAATAATCAAAAATGCAACACATAAGCTTGATGGAATGCATAAAACTATGTCTAACAACGTACTGCCAATTCAACGGCCAAATATATGAACAAGTCAAAGGAACACCCATGGGATCACCAATATCAGGTTTGATTGCAGAAGCAGTGATGTAAGGGCTCGAAAACGTAATCCCACGAAAGATCAAACCCAAAATGTTAAATACGTTAAGTAGATGACACATTTGTAATAATCAAAAGAAACGAGTTGGACAAAACTTACAATTTAATAAACGTCTTCAACGACATCATATTCACAAGAGAAGAGGAATCCGAGAACCAAATCCCATTTTTGGACGTCTCAGTCAAGCGGACAACCACAAAGGAATTAGAAACCCAAGTTTTTAGAAAATCAACCCACACAGACCAAATCCTGAATTACAACAGCTACAATCTAATAACACACACAAGGAATTGTATACGAACACTACTCAAGAGGGTCAGGACTCATTGCAGCACTCCCACATTAAGGAAAATTGAAAAAAGATATCTCATGGACGTCTTTCAAAAGAATGGATTTCCACGGAATTTCATCAAAAGACGTATACCCCCAAGCCAACCTATCAAACCAAAAGCCTCCAAGGAAAGCACAAAGAAAATCGCGCTATAAAGGACATCTCAGAAACCACTGCGAGACTCTTCAAACCTTTAGGAATTGACGTCGCACACAAACCAACACAACCATTTCACTTAGTTCTATGTCAATCAAAAGACTCAACAGCGAAAGAAGATAAAACCAACATCACAAATTGCCTCATTTTTTCATCCTTATTATTGATAAGACCATTATTATTATTATTACTACTACTAATATTATCATTACTACTATTATGACTGATTGCACAATTTATATTCACCATCGTATTATCCTATAGACAAAACACCATGATTGGTTTATATTTGAATTTTTATTTGTAAAATTATATATATTAGAGTTAAGCCTGATGAGATCTAATTGAAAACAATATTGTTCGGTTAAATGTGCTGTTCTAAAACCGACATCATCTACAAAATAAATTGTAACATTTGCGAAAAACACTACATTGGTTAAAGTGGACGGCTCTATTCGTCTTCGTATCCACGATCATAAGCTAGCTGTCAAAAGACATGATATCCACTCCCTCATATCACTACATACAGACAACCACGGACATCAATTCGACTGGGACAACGTTCAAATATTAGACAGAGGAAACAACAAGAATGCTAGAGAATTTTTAGAAGCCTGGTATTCCGATGAATCACCGATTAATAGCACATCGAGATAGACAGAATTTATCAACCGATAAGAAAGAAACCTCATACACAAAGGGTCAAAGTTCAAGTCAAAGGATCACAATCACTTCCAATACAAGTAACCTAGAAGGTGTGAAAACACAAAAACAACCAATCACGTTCAAGGTCACCAGGAGAGATGATTAATAAACTCGTGGAGAAATGTAAAAGCTCACTTTAAATTGAGGTATGCGGTGAAGATGTCGCATAGTAGGGCGACGAAAGCTTCACAAATTAACTATCCAGCTCAGAGAACACAACCACATCAAAATCGTCCAACTGAGCTACAAATCTTCTCCATCATATGGAAACCTAAGTAGTTTTAACATGACTCTTACACTAATCGACTTAACAATTAATACCGAGTAAAATAAAACTAAGGATAGATGGATTACAACACAGGTAATGATTGTCAATTGAAAGGTGTAGGACACTAGGATAAAACTGTCAAGATATATTAGAAACTAAAAGCTGTTGAACTTTGAAGATATGACTCCATTATTATTATTACTACTATTATTAGTAGTATTATTATTATATCCTTTAATTCCTAGAGGAACATAGGGCTTCAGCCGCGCGTCTCCACTGCGTTCGGTTTTCCGCCAACTTTTTCACCCCGCTCCAAGTCTGCCCACATACCTTCATCTCCTCTTCACATGACCTCCTCCAAGTCACCCTTGGACGACCAACTCGCCGCTTCCCTTTCAGGTTCTATTCGAGGGCTTGTCTAGTGATGAGTACTTGAATTCCGTATCGTTTCATTTCGTTTGCGATCTGGGCAGCTTTGCCAATCTCGTACATAGTGCGGACGTTCCATGTCCCCACACAGACTTTTTCTTTTGGCACAAGGAGATTCATCGGACTAAAGTTTCTGTAGCAACTTTGTTTACAGGATGGGGTTGCTAGCCTCACGCCTTAGAAAGGGATTGTTACATTAAGATATAGTTTAGAGAGAAGCGACCTTGTGGGTTGCTCCCCTTAAACCGGAAAACAAGGAATAAAACAATCAGAACAACACAAGAAAAAGGAAAATAATTCACAGCAAAAAGGGCAACAGGCGACAAAAACAATAAAAATGTTCCAGTTAAACACAGTTATCTGAAATCATAGACTCACTGACTTGAGCCAACTTGAACATGTAAATCCAACAATATATACAATTATAGATATGTGTTAGTGTTAAAAAGTCACAAAATGCCAAACAGTTAGTTGTAGGTATTAGTAGTCAACAAGATTATATCCACAGGTTTAGTTTTCGAAAGTGAACGAACACTGTCTGGTACATCGTCAGTTACTTCAACAGTCCTTTCTGTTCTGTTGTCAAGCAATAAATTTTTGTGCTGTCCCATCCTTTCATCGTTTCTGTATATGGATGGAATTCATATTATTCCACCATGTGACTTATATGTACATGGCGAATAGTCAATACAAAGACTGTATTACTTGTAATAACACAATATCGTCAAATGACATGTGATTTTTTAAAGTCTACATGCAGTTTTGAATTCTAAAACTGTAATTTATGGCTTTGAGTACACTTTATTGAACAAATACGCTACACTAGTGGCATTAACTAACAACGATCTCAGTTATACGTAACTATCACAAATTTTGCTTCTGATGTCACACAATTCCTAAGTGGTGACCAAAGTTTGTGAAATAAAGAATACAGTGTACTTGTTTAACAGAAATGCTACTTTATATTCTTTAGTTATCGTATGCAAGTTTGTGTAATAAGCACTGGACCAAAGCTGGTGATACTAGCTGATCTTTTAATTAATGTACATTACCTGTGAAACTGGTTAAGAATATACAATCTAAACCGGTAAGGCATAGGTAAGCGAGAAATTCAGTACAGAGGTAGAACACAATATATTGTGGCGATTTTCGAGGAAATTGATAAGAATTAAAACTGAAATACAAAATTTCAATAAGTGTAACAATAACCTACTTCTGCAAGCGTTTTGAATCGGTCTTCCGCCATTGGTTTTAGTGAATTGATTTTCTGTCTTAAAGCCTCTAATCCACCAGAATTTCGAATTTTAGAAGATTCTTTCAAAACTGTTTCACAAACCAATTGAAATACACTAAGTTCCAATGAACGTGGAAAATTGTGTTTAGTCATTTCCCTATGTTTTGAGAAAAAGGAACGAAGAACAGATAAATCTACAACAGGCCATAAGAAAATGTCTTTGATATTGTACCTCAGATATATATATATATATACGATACCTAACTTCATAAGGAATGGGAAATATTCGAAGTGGGAACCAAAAAACTGTGGGGGTTTTGAGGTATGATTATATACGTAGGATTCAGTGATTCGTATGGGTAAAACCCACAGTCATGTTAAAGAAGATTGTAATTGACACTGACCTTAACGTCAACGAAGATTAGATTACACCACGAAGACGAATGGTGATTTTAAACAGTTGCGAAATAACAGCATTATAATGCGCTTCAAAAACTTCACTTAAGATTGATCAATCACTCTTTGACGTTTCATTGTTTATCTTGTATTTGATGCTATATTAATATATTATGTACTGTTAGTGCGAATGGCTTGAGATACCCCTAAATATAATTTTTCTAGCCTCTTTCCATTCCCAATGTTCCGTGTGGAACATAAGGATCAGAACTTTATAAGTTTCACTTGAGTCGTTTTACTTGGTGAGCAACTCCACGCTAGCTACTAAACTGGGCGAAAATTAAGAGTACGTTAATCGGGAATCTGACTCAAACCATGCGTGTAGCTGATGAGCATTCTACCATTGAAAAACGACACAACACCTGCTAAAAAGCAAAAGACTTATTTCTACTTGAATATGACAGCTACACAAGATGGACAAGGAGAGAGATTACCGTCAACAGATTACAATACAGTTGGCATTATGACCTTCATATACATTCATTTAGATACATTAATCACCACATAAGTACTTGTATTTCCTAGTCAAATTAAAAGTGAAAAATCTCTAAGTCAACACTATCTAATGAAATTTGAGGAATGAAAACGGTCTACTGGTTATTTTATCGGCATAAAATTGGAATTTTATAGCAAAACAGACACTTACCTCTCAAAAGTAATATCAGCATTCTTCAACTTAGTAAATTCCGACTTAACAATTGCTGTTCGTGTGTCGTTAGCAATAGCTAAACCTTCAAGAACAGGAAATGGAACCAACACTTCAAAAATATCTTCTGGTTCTGGAAACAATAGCGGTATGTGCAAGACCTCCTTTGTTATGATATCACTACTTAGGACAGGAGTTGCTTGTAATTCACTATTGGTTTCCATCTCATGCACAGGTGCAAAACTTTCTGACCAACGACGAGATGAAAGACTACGCGTGAATCTAGAAACTAGAAGACCAGCAGATTCCTGTAAAAGCATATACATAAATGGTTACTCCAATATGGATTATAATAACACTGACAAGAAAATTTAGAAAGAAACACTCATTTGATATTACAATAATATTACGAACTAAAATCAATGATAATAAATGCAACAAAAATGTAATTATTTATTCTCTGACTCACGCCATGAGTTACTGGATGGCAGTTTATTGTGGTGTATTAGAAGTAGTAGTAATACCAGTAGTAGCAGTGACGGCAGTAGAACCATCAGTAGTACAAGTTGTAGTGCTAGAAGGAAATTTCTAGAGCCCAGGATTCGAACGAAGCTGAGACTAACTACCTAACTAACTACCTGGAAATGCACAAAATCTCGTCCGCTCAGGAAGATAACAATAAAGAATCAACAAGACAGATCGCCAACATCAAACACCATGAAATTTACACCACAACGACAATGCTTCCTATCATGGAAGCTCACAGCAATCGAAATTAAAATGTTTCTATTCTCAAAAGTAATTCACAAAAAATCCGAAGGACAGGAGAAACTGCCCACTCTTATTTGAGCAAGCGCATTTTTCATTCAAGTTAGTGCTAAAGATGTCGTCAAGTGTTGTGATGAAACATCAGTTTAACATTTTGGGGCCTTATATATATATATATATATATATATATATATATATATATATCCTCAAAAAGAGAGAAAATGAGCGAATCGCCTAGAAGTTTAAAAGAAATGATAAAAGGAATATTATCATTAACACTATTACCTTAGCGTCCTTTTTGCATTTTCGTTTGTCTTCACCTAAATGAGCTGAGGCTAAAATACTGTAATACTTTTGTTTAGTTTTAATAACTCGCTGCCAGTCCTGTGGTGAATAAGGATTATAAGTTAATCAAAGCTGAAACACACCCATACCTCAGGTAAACATTTTACTATGTCTTCATCTTGTAAACAATTTGAAGTGGCTGAAAATGAATCTAGGCACTTTTTATACAATTTATTGATATGATTGACAATACGTCGATATTCAGGTTCATCTAACAAAAAAATTAAAAACAAATAGTAAGAAGAGAAACTGGTAACTGATTTGACTCTTCCTAATATGCTACTTCCATATAAAAAAACCCGAATCAAGTAACTTATTGTGTAAACATTCCCGTTTTAAAGCACAGAGGTAAACTGAAAATAACGTAAAATTACACGGTTCATTAGAAAATGCATGATGAGTTAATAATCACGCTCCTCTTTACCAAAGGAGTATATTTATATTTTGAAATTTGTCGACTTTTTTTCGAATCATCTGCTTGAAGTTATATACTCGTCATCAACTGATATGATATCGTCGACAGTTGATATGACCGAGTAGACTTACGCGTAGGTATAATGATAAGGAAGCGATGAACAACTCAACTGATATGCTAGATAAACCTTTTCTTCCCTAGTAACTTCAGCTTCATTGAGCTAGATAAATATCAAAAGACAAAGATTGGTATGTGACTGCCAGCGTATAACTATTAATAGGAAAAAAGCACGTCATGTTTATATATTTTAGCCATATAAAAATCTTAATAATTTGAATATCCCATAAATCATTTGAAGGAAAAATCTATTGATATTATTGGTTCGACGTTAAGAAACATTATTGTTGTTAATAACACTAATTCAATCACTATATATATATATATATATATATATATATATATATATATATATATATATATATATGTTTAGGTTTGACAGTGACTGGAAATACTAAAGTCAGATAATATTGGTGTATACAACTATAAGTCAAAAATGGATTAGATATATGAATCGAATAAATAGAGTACACTCAGAAATGTAGATAGAATAATATGATGGAAACATGAGATGAGTGAAATGTTGTCAAAATAGTAGACTAGGTCAAATGTTAGAATATGATAACAGAGTGAAATAAAATAAAACAAAGCAAAATGGAACGTGGAACAAAGAAGTATAACAAAGTTTTTGTGAACTACATAGTGAAACTAAGAGCATAGTAACGAAAGAGATCGTAAAATTTGTTTTCTGTCTTTATGTTATGTATTGCCAAAGCCTCCGCGCTATACAAAGCAAGTGCATTCGTATCCCTTTCGGTAAAGCGGTATGAAGCTATGAAAATGAGTGTACTGACACGTCCTAGTCTTTCTAAATTGACTTCCTTGTAGATGTCCGTCTATCTTCTTAGTAAGAAGGAAGTTGGCCTAGGACAGTGGAAAATACGTTGCTCTGATTAGTAGGCAATTCGGCTAGGTCCAGGGTAAATAGATATTCAGACTCGTTGATCGAGGATCACGATAAAAGAGATGAAATTTTACAGTCATCAAATCACAAGGTGAAACACATGATGAGTCACAAGATGATTACTGTTTTAACCACTCCCTATCACCTCCGCCCGCAAGTAATTATAGGACTTTCCATTCGGACGTGTTTGGAAAACTCTTGATTTATCGGCCAAAAATAATTCCCGCTGTTGATAACTGATTCGAGACATAAGTATTTGGTGCCAAATGATAAGGCAGAAAAAATCTATTCAAGATATCTCCCATTGGCCCCTCCCACTTCGCTTTCATGAAACACGCTTTGGGGAATCAACGAAGTGTTCAGCTTGTCCACAGGATTGGGGTTAATGCAGAACTGGACGTTTAGGGCGGAAACCCAGAGTAACACGTTCGGCTTCAGAGGCGAAGAGACTTGGGTAAGCCTGCAGCAACCAAGTTCTTCCTGCAGAACTGGAGTATGATTTTGACGTGAGCGTTGCAACAGAGATTTATGTGATCCATGATTTGAAACAAAATCATTTGGTGATGACATTACATCAGAACATATTGAATTTAGCGGAATATTTGATACGGTTATAACTGTAGGAAATTAGATGAAGACGTTGTCGCCTTGTTCTGTCTGCGCCTGACTAATATGCCTATCTGCTTGTGGTACCTTCCGATTCAGTGAACCACGCAAATATCAAAAGACAAAGGCTGGCCTGTGACTGTATATTGTAGTACAACAACTACGACAAAGAACTTATTTAGGAAAACAACACATGGTATTTATACATTTTTACAACAATATAGACAGCTAACAGCATTTGAAATAATTGATCGTAATAATCAATAGCAAAGTGCGTGGGAAATGATGATATACCATTTATGCGAGATTAACAGCCGTTGAAATAATTGATCAATAACAAAGTGCGTGGGATCCTATCACCTCTCCCCGTAAAAGGTGTAGGACTTGCTTTTTGGATCTATTTGAAAAGGTTTCGGAGCTCTTCTTTGTCGAGTTGACCTTCGCGTGGCACTGGATAGAGTGTGATCTGTGTCCCGGGCTTCCGGCTGCGGAAGATTAAATCTATCTACTAATACTTCTAACGTGAGGTCTCGTCTCCCATTGTCGGGTCTATCTGACGCATCTTGTATATGATTCGTGTGTCTGACACATAACTGTCCTTCTACATTCACTTTGTATAAAACCCTTCCTTTCTGCCCCACTATTTGTTCTCGAATCCATCTCGGAGGTGAATAGCGAAAATCTCGTACATAAACTTGCTGATACAATTTGAAAACTCGACGTTTAGCTCCGTGATGGCGATTGAATTGGTTTTCCATTTTTGTATTTCTGCAGCCCTGCTTTACTTGCCTAGGCTTAATTGAGTCGAGGGTAGTTCTGATCTTCCGGCCAAACATAATTTCCGCTGGGGATAACTGATTTGGGGCGGAAGGATTTGGCGTCGTACGATAATGCAGTAAGAATCTATCCAAAATTTCTTCTGTTGTTCCCTCCCCCTTCGCTTTTGCATACGCACGCTTAAAGGTGTCGACGAAACGTTCAGCCTGTCCATTCGATTGGGGATGATACGGGGGGCTACGAATATGCTGGATGCCAAACAGTTTGCAGAAATCTGAGAACAGTGATGAGGTGAACTGTTAACTGTTGTTAACAGAAAGAGTAACGTACTTTCGTCTGTTGGCGAAATCGACTTTGGACAATGCGAAAACAGCCTTTACCCAAGGAGGTGTTTGCCCCTTGAAGGAACCACGTTTGTTTCTCATAGAAGAGTTTCCCTCCAGTAAACAGTAGGTCTCTTTATGTCCAAGACGGTATCATTTGCAGCACCCATGTTTTTGAATGGGCAGAATTTGACAAAATGCCACAAACCAAAGTACCAGCATATTGATGAAGGCTTAGATAAATTCTGAGACTGATATTTTGTGTGCTTAACAGCAGTCGCAGTTTTTATTTCATTAATTGAGCTAAATTCAGACAGCTGTCATTTGTGCAATATCATGCTTTAAATTGATTAAACATTGACATTCTGCTGTCACCATCTGTAAAGTCATTCTCGGAGCTTGTTCTGCGCGTGACAGAGGTCGAATTCGAATGTCAGCATCTTCATGATTTTCCACACCACAAAGAAAAATCAAACATTTGAACTGATCTGATGTCATCTCATGTGGTTTGAATCTTTTACATTCCTTATTCCCTTTGTCAGCTTAAGTGACATCATCATCGGAAAGTACTTTTGATAACTGTAGATATTGGCACCGAATACTGAACATGGATGATTGTTCACCAGACATTTGGGACAAAACGGTGACTGTATCATCGAAAGATAATTCACGGGGACTACTTGGAAGAGTGAATGGAGATTTTCGTTGTGCTCGACAGTAGCAATTTTTCGTAATAATAATAATCGAATTTTTGGCAGAATCATTGAACACGACACATTAAAAACCGAGTCTTCGTAACAACTGAACTATGAATCGAATGCGAGACCAGATTAGTGGATTATAACTGAACTCACTAATAGAATTTGAAATGCTTTCATGTTTATCTGGATGAGATGTAGAAGGGACCTGGAATGACAGCCTCTGAGTGACAGTCTCGATTAATTTTAGTTGAGCTGCTTTATTCTGAGATTCCTGAAGCTGTAAGATAGACTTGAGATCATCCATAGAAATAAACATTGTTAATTGGATGACACTGACACTGTCGCCAATTTGTTATGGCTGCACTGGATTGAATATCGTTGTTGCCAAAATATGACATGGCTAAACTGAACTGAATATTTATATTGCCAAAATATATTACGGCTGCACTGAGCTTAATAGCCCCGTTGATAATTCGTTATGATCTAAGTCGCCAGCTGAAATGAACTCGTCGTCAACCTCAGATTTGAGATTTGCGATTCATGCAGTCTGAGGTGAAATTTCACCAGTTTCCTTTGGAGAAAAAAATCATCCCAGTCACAATATGTGATCCATTGGTGACACGGGTTCAAATCTCAGAAGGGGCGTAAATCCTTTCAAAATTGCAAGTACGCCATCCTGACGACTACCAACAAACACGAAACCTAGGTTCAAGACGTCTTCGTGATTCCCTCCGACCATCTAATAACAACAAATCAGAGTACTTGTGCAACATATTTTCAACAATCTTATCACACATGGTCTTATCATAAGAATATATATGAAATTAAGAGTTAAGAGGTGAGAAAATAGACTTGAGTCAAGTTAAAAGGACATATTGAATGTCAAAATAACAACGAATATCACTAAACCAAATAACAGAGGTATTAGTACATCTGCTAGGGTATCCAAACAAAGTTTACCAAGGAAGGTTTAGTGTGATCACGAATTTTTTGAACGCAGAAAGGTGGTTTAAACTTTCTAATTGCTAGGGCTTCCACAAACTTTAGGATACGCCCCAAATGCGTTTTATAAATAAGTTTAAAAGACGTGTGGAAACATCAATTTTATGTCCTGTCTCTATAATATATTTCGCAATAGAGGAGCTAGGTCTCCTTTTCTCACCAGTAATGGGTTCTCGGGATTCCACTTGCTTCTGAAGCCATTTAGGAATATGCTCTAAGGCCCTTACTTGCAGAGACCGATGAGTCTTCCCTAAGTATGTGTGTCCACATGTACATTCAAATTGGTAAATACAGTGCGATGTGAAATCATTTTTCTCACGTTTTAAGGGCTTAGACAGATATATCGGCTTTAAATTCTCAATAATTATGATCTTAGCTTAACCACAGCGTTCAATCTCTGTCAAGTTACCGAGCTGCTATGATCACCCATATAGAGTAGATTTATGTACATGTCTTTTTAGCGACGAGCTGGAAAGTGGGTGTTAGTGTTCTGAATACTTTATATCTCCATTATGGATAAGATTTTATTTTGATAAGTCATACAGTGTTACACAGTAATATTAACTGATGACGTTTAGAGCACAAATTATTGCTCATAATCATATCAAGCTACTCACAAAACTTTTTCCTTCATTTATATGCATGTGTGGAATTGACTAGATATTTGAATAAAAATCAATATGGGATAGTGTACACTCAGAAATAATAATATGAGTGTTATTGATCAATTACAATCAGATGGAAAATAAGACGTGTTTTTATAGTCATGATAAGTAACTTGTTAGAATGTTATGATGTACCTGAATTGAAAGAGAATTTTAAGATTATTTGTTATCCTCCTATGATTTGACTGGCGGTAATTATATCTTCCATATTTCTGGTATTTGCATTGAGTCATTTCTGTTGCATGTGTTGGGTGTAGACTCAATGAACCATGATCAATGAACCAGTAATCATTCTCTCTCTCTCCACCTACCTATATTACTTACTTTTTAGAATTTTAACCCCCTCCCACCCTATTGTGTGGTTGTATGTTAATGCATGTAGTGCAATTGCTGAGTTTTTTGTAAATTACTTATCTTCTCTGGGTCAACCATTCTTATTACCTTAGCCAAATTCTTATGTTCTAAGAAGTAATCTATGCAGGTGGAGATAGAGATTGATTACTGAACCCTGGTTCATTGAGTCTACACCCAACACATGCAACAGAAATGACTCAATGCAAATACCAGAAATATGGAAGATATAATTACCGCCAGTCAAATCATAGGAGGATAACAAATAATCTTAAAATTCTCTTTCAATTCAAGTACATCATAACATTCTAACAAGTTACTTATCATGACTATAAAAACACGTCTTATTTTCCATCTGATTGTAATTGATCAATAACACTCATATTATTATTTCTGAGTGTACACTATCCCATATTGATTTTTATTCAAATATCTAGTCAATTCCACACATGCATATAAATGAAGGAAAAAGTTTTGTGAGTAGATTGATATGATTATGAGCAATAATTTGTGCTCTAAACGTCATCAGTTAATATTACTGTGTAACACTGTATGACTTATCAAAATAAAATCTTATCCATAATGGAGTTATGTTCTAACACAGTGCCCAAGTTTTATACTTATGTCTCCCAATGAACTTGTTTGGATAATTATTATCAACCAGTTTGTTATGTACTCGTCGCAATTAAATGTTACGTACTGCTGAGTGGTTAATTGTCCTGACGCAAAAAGGGTAAAATCAGAAAGCCACCACATTCACGATGATATGTGTATTTTCCAACAAGGGAAATTGACTGTCACACCAGTGTGAGTGAAAGGGTACGTAGTGTACGAAAGGTGTGAACAAGTGTGTATATAAGTGTCCAATACAAAAGTATATACGAAAATGACTAATATACATGAACCAATAAGACAGACATCTTACCATGATTGGATTCTGATTGGTTATAATGTAATGTGACCAAAAGGTCATATATTGTTTATTTAGTTAATGAACAGACAAAGCATATTGTGAATTATAATGGAATATCGATCAATATACACATAGCAAAATATATCATTGTCAAAACAAGGTAGACATCATGTGACTACATATCACAGTTTGTGTCAATTTTCTTTCTTCTTCATCAAGTGTGTCTTCAGTGCATATTCGCTGGATTCTACTGAAGAGGCACTTAGCTCACTAAGGCTTTTTTGTACCGAACACGGCGGAAGCTGAGATAATTAAGATACTGTCCTGTCCAGGTAGGTTTTCTATAAATAGGTTGTTTTATTGATCCATTCTGCCATCGACTGGGCAATAAATCTAGGAAAGATAAACAATTATCTTCCTCTTCTATAGACGTAAGTGATATGCTATTCTGAACTACACTCATTCAATTTGAAATTGAGGTGGCAGAACAAGGCTTATCACTTATGATTACAATGTCGTCCACATAACTTCTACAAAGTGGTGCATTTTAGTAATCGTCATTGCTATTTCGACACTCAATATATCCCTTTAACTTGACCTAAGTCTATTATCTCACCTCTCAACTCTTTATTAATTTCACATATATTCCTATGACAAGGTCATGTGTGATCAGATTTTTCAAAATATGGTGCACAAATACACTACACAACTCAGACAAATTACACCTTATTGCTTTGTCTAAATTCATAAAGGGAACTAAGTGTTTTAAAAATTCAGAATATACCGTGATGACGAGTCACCTAACATGGTAGCTTTATTGTAAACTTGACTGACAGAATTCAGTCTGCACCAAACAAAGGACTCGATGCATGATACTAGTTAGTATCCAGTTCCCACTCAGAATAGCAAACAAGAAAATAAGCGTAGATCCATGATGATATTTACTACTACTACTACTAAACTCGCACTAACCTCTGGTGTTTACCAGCCAGATAGAAGCAAGCACTGCTTGTTGATGTGATATCCAACTACTCATATTAACTAATCCGTAGTGCACAGCATTGTGAATACTTCAGTTAAACACAGAAAGTTTTCGTGACCCTTTTTACATGAAAAACATTAAGCCAAGTCTAAGGCAACTAATACACTGCAAAACTAATTGTCCTTACATTGTTTTTCTTCTAAAATGATGCAGACTTGACTCCTGATATGAAATTACAACTTACTCAATTTGAATGTCGGGAATATGAGGTAACATTTCAAAAGACTTTCGTCAAACTAGTGCTCACATTAAAATATGTATTACATAAACTTCAGAACAAGTAAATATACTACCAAATTACTGGAAATAAAATAGGTATAGTAGTCTAACTACGCACAGTTAAATGACCAATGTATACAAAGGTACACAAAAAATTACTTTAAAATCAATCATATAATTTTTTCATGAAACAACTACTGCACTGCCGACAAAGACGGTAAATTCACCTCATTTGAAAAACCTTAAGAAATGATGATCGTACTAACAGGTTTCACTCATGGAATAGCTAAGTAAACTTTTGGCTTGTATACGAATAGTCAAAGAATAGATGCACCTCTACCTATTTTAAATCACTCGGTTGAATAATTCCTCTTAAGCAAAAGAAGATGTTTACACGGCATTATATGAATGCAGTAGGTGTATTGCCTTGTACAAATAAAAAACACTTCTGTACATTTATGTGCGTAAATCCAGTCTGCCTGACATAACGCGAGAATAAAAAAATTGTTCGGAGTAGTGTTTACACCATCAAGATATTTCAAGTTTTTCTAAACGTTTCTCATATTACGCAATCTCAGTTCAAACTTACTAATCTTGACCCTACCTCTAGATACAATTTGATTATTCACCACTATTTGGAAATAATTTGACATAAACAATACCCCAAACTAATTTTTATTCTTGTGCCATGTTTGACAGACTGAATGCATACACATACACAAAAAATAATTATATATAATTGAGTATATACAGCTAGGTGAATGAATGATTTTGTCGAGAAGTATCTTAGCGATTCGGATGGAAAACCCTGATTTATGTACACAGAAGAAATATTTCAACAAAAAGTTACCATTGCGAAATCGAAGAAAATTGCACTCATTGGCTTGTGCGATCATAACATCGCTGAAAACAGTCAGTAACTCTTGAGTCATATTCTTATTCGACTGTTCAACATGTGAAGCAAGATACTCGAATGCTTCAGCAGCAATCTGAAGAAAAGGATTACAATTATTCTGATGTGCGTAAAAAAAAGTTACAAAATACTTATGGATAAAAGTATTCAATTTTAATTGGTCTCAAAGAGAAATCAATATCCATAATATTGTACCAGTTTGGGTGTTAATACCTCCCGACAGCACAATAAAACTGTAGAAGTTACCAGATGGCGAAAAACGTTAAACAAGTGCTTATCGAGAGTTTAAATATTTGGCTGGTTATTTTAAGTACAAAAAGCAAATGAATTTGAGCGGCTTCAGTTTCAACATCTCCTGAAGCTTCCAAATCATATCGAACAGGGTGTCAAATCTGGGTGGGAAATGGTAATTTGCTAGACATAAAACGACACCATATTTTGTTCCTTGTGCATTGAGACTTAATCTTCCTGAGCATCAATGTTCTCTAGCCTGCTGACGTAATAGATGTCAAATGAGTAGCGACACCAAGATGTTGGCAGCAAATGCATTAATTTCTGGTTACTTGAAGAAGGCAAATCAGATGACCAGATTATGAACCTTTATCAATCGAAGCGGTTGACTTTTACTCTATGAATGCACAATAACTACTTGCTTTTAAATGTCTATAACATAAAGAATAACTGTCTAATAATTGTGTACCTTAGACAAAGAGTAACATTTTAGTTCATCGATACAAGTAACGTAAACTCAATTCTGAGAGAAGATACCACACAATAAATAAACTCAGTCACTGATCCACATATAAAGTCCCAGTCAAATTAGCCATCAATACATTAAGTATGTTTATCTTGGACTATCAAAATAATGATTAGAGATTTCTTTCTCCTTATTGCGTTGTCCCAGACATAAGGCTTCAACAAAACATCTCCAGTTTGTCCTGTTCTCTATGTTACTCTTCAGCTGGCCTCACGATTGCCCATAAGCTTGCGTCTCCTACTCACACGACCTCCTCCATTTCACTCTCGGACACATGTCCAACTTTTTTCTTATTCGCGTTCCACTCGAGGACCTGGTGAGCGATGTCAACAGATGGTTTCCTAAGCATGTGTCTGATTCATCTCCATTTTCTTCGGCATATTTGTTGAATAGTAGGTTCTCGAAATAACTTAGCTGCTCAAAACCTGCGTTCTGATTAAGTTCATTTGCCAGGTAAGTTACATTCACTATCTTCAATGGTGAAATCTTACCACAAAAGTTGAGGGTGAATTACGAATGTTCGGTAGATACATATGGGCTGTAGGATTTAAAATGAACGAATGACGTATAAACCTGTTCTGGTCACAAAGGTTTGTGAAAAATGAAGTTATTGTAGGTCAAACTTGAAGTCAAAGGGTGCAGCAGGTCGGGTGTGAGGACAAATATTCGCCGAAGACATTGGCTAGGGGTCGCGCTATGTTGTGAACTGAAATCAAAGTCTTTAAAATAATCCCCTTAGACAAGTAACTGCTCTGATGTGAATGCTTACGTATTATATCTCCCACAAAAATAAATGAAAATTTTATTAATCTGAATCTACCAGTGAAGATGCTAAGAGTATTCTGAATCATATGGACTATATCTTGGCTGGATGTCATGAAAAGTAAGTACAATTAAGAAGAAACTACATCTGACCTGCATTCAGTATGAAACTAATCATTAATCCCACCGATAATATAGAACAAAAACGTTGAATAATACCTTTGATTTCTAACTTCGTAAGCCTCCAAATTATCAAGTCAAGTTTTATCTGAGTGTGTAGCCGAAAAGATGTTAAGTGATTATCGATGTTACCGAGCCCAATTAGTCCACTATACAACAGCTCTAGTAACTTACCTTGTAACTGGAAATAGCCTTCATTAATGTGTGCTCCATGTTTAAATTATATGTTGTAGCCAAAGCTGAATGGACAGCAGCATAACAAAAAATGATATTCATTCGTTCAAAGCTAAAGGAATAGTGCTCTAAAGAAAATGATAAATAAACATTATAAATACGACAAGCCTACTTGAATAGTTCTTTTGAAATATGTCGCTCCAGCTCCATGTAATTCCTAAGTCTTCTGACGTATTGATCCGCTTTTCAAAATTCCATAAAGCATCATGATACCTGGAGACAGAGACAGCGAAATACAATGATAAAGCCCTATATCTAAATCTTTCATCTAACAAAAGTTGGTGAATTAATTAAATGGGCATATTTTCACTAAAGTAAACTGAAATTTATATAAGTGTCACCCCAGACAAGCGTAGTTGAGGTTGTTTCGAAGATTTCAGATCACAAACCAATGCTGGCTGGGTCAGCATCAAATGCATCACCTTAGAAATCGTAGACGCTGGCTGTTAAGGGAGATTTAGCACGCACTTTGTCAGTGTTATTAAGACGAACAAGATCCATGGGACATTCAGATAATCTCTATCTTCTGATATTATTATTATTATTGCTCCCTCGGGTTCCTAGTGGAACATAGGACTTCAACTGTACGTCTCCATTTGCTTCTGTCTTCTGCTGTACTTTTCGCCTGCATCCATGTTAGTCCATATTCTTTCAACTCCTCTTCACGCGATCTCCTCCATGTCACCCTTGGACGTCCCACACACCGCTTCCCTTTCGGGTTCCACTCGAGGGCCTGACGCGCGCGCGATGTCACCCAGCGGTCTCCTCAGCGAGTGTCCAATCCATCTCCACTTTCTCCTGCATATTTGTTGGGCGATTGGTTCTTGCTTTGTTTGTTCCCATAATTCCTTGTTGGTGATTCTTTCCGGCCATCTGATCTTCAGTATTGAGCGAAGACAGTTGTTAATAAAGGTCTGCAGCCTTTTGGAAATATTCTTTGTGACCCGCCAAGTTTCTGATCCGTATAGAGGAACTAACTGACTTTACGTTTGTATTGAAAATCCGAATTTTGTTGGTGATGCTGAGTGACGAAGATTTCCAGATTGATTTCAGGCTGATGAATGTGTTTCTCGCCTTCCCGATTCTCGATTTGACATCCTCGTCCTCTCCGACTGTGTAGTTGAGACAATGCTCCCTAGATAAGTGAATGAAGTAACCTCTTTCAAATCCCTCCCGTTGATGGTGATTGACGCTGGATGTTGCTGCTGTTGTTGTTGTTGTTGTTGGTTATTTTCATAACCTCCGTCTTGTCTATTTTTACCTGGAGTCCTGTCTTTGCTGCTTCTTCGACCAGTTTGTCGGTTTTCGCTTGTAAGTCTTCGATTTTGTGTGACATCAAACATAAATCATCCACGCGCGAAATCCAGGTCTTCTAGGTTCTTCACGTCGGTCCAGGATATCCCTGTCTTCTCGTTTCCCACTGTCTGACGCATAATCCAGTCCACCACAATTAGGAATATCATTGGTGATAGATAAGCACCCTTGTCTGACTCCTGTGTTTACTCCAAACGCCTCGCTGAGTCTTCCGTTGTGGATCACTTGACATGTGCCGTTGTCGTACAGCTGTTGAATAAGGTTGATGAATATTTGGGGTACGCCATAGTACTCGAGTAATTTCCAAATTACTTCACGATCAACGCTGTCGAAGGCCTTCTCAAAGTCTATAAAGTTGAGGTAGAGGTTTGATTGCCATTCCATGCTTTGTTCTGTGATGATGATGCGTAGAGTTGCAATTTGGTCAGTACATGATTTGCCTTTCCTGAATCCAGCTTGTTCTGGTCGGAGTTCTGTCTCCAGTGCGTCCTTTAATCTCTCCAGGATGATGCGACTCAGGATTTTACTTGGCGTCGATAGGAGCATGATTCCTCGCCAGTTCTTGCAGAGTCCTAAGTCGCCCTTCTTTGGTAGTTTCACGAGGTAACCTTTCCTCCAGTCAGTAGGCACCTTTCCCTCCTTCCAGACCTTTTGCAATAATGGAGTCAGCATGTCTGCTGTAGTCTCTGGGTCTGCTTTCAGTGCTTCAGGGGGTATTCCATCTGGTCCGGCTGTTTTTCCAGCTTTCAGAAGTTTGATTGCGTTCAAGACTTCAGCTTTCGTTGGAGGATTGGTGTCAACTTGCAGTTGTGCAAGCGCTGTTGTTGGTATTTCTGGACGGGTTGCAGGTGATGGTCGGTTCAAGAGTCCTTTGAAGTGATCCGCCCATTGTTTAATCTGTTTTTCTTCCTTGGTAATGGGCTTCCCTTGGCTGTCTTTTATAGGTTTCGCTTGTGTTGGTCTCTTCCCGGATAGAGATTTGGTTATCTGATATGATGTCCTCAGGTCCCTTTTGCCTGCTGCCTTCTCAGCTTCAGTGACCAGGTTGTCGTAGAATCGTCTTTTGTCCTTCCTAGCACTCTTCTTCACTTCTTTGTCCAGTGCTTTGTAAGTTGAGCTCAGCGTCTCCTTCTCCTGTCCGTCCTTGCATTGAATCATTTTCTCTTTCACCATTCTCCTCTCTTCTATTAATTTCCAAGTGTCCGTTGAGAGCCATTCCTTGTCTTGTCTCTTCTTTCTTCCTAGAACCGTTGAACACGTTTCGTTGAGAATCGCCTTCAGAGACTTCCAATGTTCTTCCACGCATGATTCTTCAGTGATGTCGCGTAGTGTTTCCTGCTTTGCTCTGACAGTTGCAGTGAAGGTGTCTTTTGTGGTTGTGTCCTTCAGTAATTGAGTGTTGAACTTGCATTGTGGCCTATCCCCAGCTATCCTCGAGGCTTTTAGTTTCACCTTGAAAGTCCCTTGTACTAGATAGTGGTCTGAACCCACATCTGCTCCTCTCCTTGACCTTGTGTCCAGTAGGCTCCGTCTCCACTTTCTTGAAATTGAGATGAAGTCTATTTGGTTTTTGGTGTTTCCATCTGGTGAAATCCATGTCGTCTTGTGTATATCCTTGTGTTTGAACACACTGCCACCAATCACCAAATCATTGAAGGCGCAGAAGTCTGAGAAGAGTTCACCATTGTCGTTCATTTCGCCGAGGGCCTCACGACCCATGGTGAGTTCTCTTCCTGTGTTGTCTCGTCCCAGCTTCGCATTCATGTCGCCCATCAGGATTTTGATATCGCCATTTGGGACGTTGTCCATTACCGTTTGTAGTTGTCTGTAGAACGCCTCCTTCTTCTCTTGTTCTGAGACGTTTGTAGGCGCATAACATTGAATGACTGTAACTTTCCTTCCTTTTGAGTTGAACCTGGCTGTCATTATCCTGGAGGAGATTGGTTCCCACTGCATGAGAGCTTTGGTCGTTGTTGGTGACATCATGATGGCCACTCCCTCGGTGTGCTCATGGTTGTCCTCTAGGTGGCCGGAATAGATTACTGTCTCTCCAGTAGGTAGTTGGCACCTTCCAGTTCCGTTCCATCTGCTCTCGCAGATTCCCAACACTTCTATTCTGTACCTTCTCATTTCAGCGGCTATCTGGGCAGCCTTTCCAGTTTCGTACATTGTACGAACATTCCAGGTACCCATCCTTACTTTTGCTTTCATCGAAAGAAGGCACATCGGCTGACTGGCTTCCCGAAGGCTTTCACCAGCCTGCGTCATTTCACTTCCCCGATTCCAGCGAAAAGTAAGGCTATTGCTTATGTTTTTAGAATTTTTAATATATTTATTCGTTGAAGTTTCTGTAGCGATTTGGTTGTTTTACAGCGGTGGAGTTGCTAGCACCACTCCCCAACCATCCCTCTTTCCCCGGGCATGGGACCGGCGAGAAAACTAGTAAGCTAGTAGCCTAGCAAGCTAGTATCTACCGAGGTTATCTTCTGATAACGCTATCCAAATTTATAAAAGGGACTAATTGTTTTACATTCAGCAGTTTTATTTGTGGAAATGGGGTCCTTTTTTTCTAACATTACCAAACATCAGTCTTTTAATTATTCTGTACACTGTTGATCGATGACATGTTACTTTTTCTTTTCAAACCGTATAGAAGAGTAGTTAATGGATTTAACTACTTCTATAATCTTAGTACATATGTATTGTAGTGGAAATATCAGAGCAACTTGTCAAGTAAGGAGGGGACAAACATTTTAAATTTTATTTATGTGTTTTGGTGTTTTCATTGACAATTGGGCTTAAAAAAGGAGTGGGTAAAGTCAAACTATAGAAGTCACTTTGATAGACCTGACCACCAAACTTGAGCAACTAATCAGAATTAATATATATATATATATATAACTTCAATTAATCTTTAATTTACACAGTACTTAAGCACTCGATCTTCATGGGGCTTGTTAGACAAATCCAGAACAGAAGACATAGTTTCATTTGGTTATACCACATGTAAGTTTAGTTGATTGTCGAAGGTTATGTACCGGAGTGGCTGCTATAGTTTCACTTCGACAACAGGCGTGTAATTGGGCCTCAAACATATCTTGTAGACTTCGTTCCATATGTATATATTCACCATTCTAATGATAGTGTACTTTCTTTGCCTTCATTTTGTGACTTCTCACATTAGGCTTCTCTGCAGAAATATTATTCCTCACTTTCCCCACCTATTTGGACTAGAATTCGACTTTTTCCCATATTAAGAATGTGGTGAAGAAAAATTCCCCACTTTACCCAATTTTAGGTGGAATCTTGCCTACGCTTTTACCGATATGTGCAAAAGATTCTCCTGCTGGGATTAAATATGTCCAACCCAAGTGAAATATTCGGGGACATATCAATGTGAAAATTTGGAGGAAATGGGAATTTTTCCCCAAACTCGTAAATTCCCCCTAGTTTTCCGGTTGTGCAATCGAGTTTGTGAATGCCCATAGGAAATATGGGGCGAATTCGTCTCAAGCAGACTAAATCGGGTAGAAATCCCTGGATATTGGTTATAAAAATGGGCATGGCCAGTACTAGAATAATGGGTGGATAGTGGTTATTTGACAGAATTGCGCCCATCTTTTACCCCTTCACTTGATTGCCTTCAATCTACATTGCACCACTGTCTTCCCATATTTCGCCTTCATTTCCTCAATAATTTGCTCTTATTGGACCGCTGTTATCCCATTCCTCCCTTATTTAACTACTATCTCTCACCTTTATTTCCCCCTAAAGTTATATGCACCCTTTATACAGTCGCACAGACACCTCAAAACCTATTTCCAACAGTGCTACATTCCATTGCATACGACTATAAAACTCAAATAAGAGTTTGTTAGTATTTTCATAAATAAGTTTAA